CCATAATTGGATGTGCGCTCATCGTAAATTGTCTTGCCTATTTTGACATTAATGGTTCTTCTTCTTTTTTTTTAACCATTGGTTTGTTGCAATAGATTTCGAATTCGAACGATGATGATGACATTCGATATTTTTTGTCTTCGTTATCATTTATGAATGAATGTATAGAATGGTCATATAAATTTTGATTAAAACATTGACCAATTGTCACGTCGTCATTTATATGATTGGAAATTCCGTTTTTTTGTTTTCCCGTAAAAGTTATTATATTGGTGGTTAGCTTTAATTATTTTTTCAATCATTTTTTTTTGTTTTCCCTTCCCCCCTTGATTCACTCAATTGTTTTCAATTTGTTGCTGGAGCAGGTGAGTATTCTTTTTTTCTTTCTCTCTCTCTATCTCTATTCACTGAAATCTCCCAATTTTTAAATAGTTGAAATTAAACTCTATGTGTGTGTGTACTCAAATTGCAAACGATCCAGAAACAAACGAACAAAAAATGATTATTCGGCCCGATTCACCCTAATATCTCAAAGTCAATTTAATCGTTTCTTTTGTGGTTTTGGTTTAATTTTGCAAAAAAAAAAAAATTTTCATCATCCGATCAAAATGATACAATCACGTAATCCTCTTGTGTGTGTGTGCGATTATTATTATATATTTAGTTTCATGAAACGGATCTTATTATTTTTCGATTGAAATATAAAATAATGGTAGCCCATAGCCCCATAGAGCCAGCTGTTTCAATCGTTTGGTGTTATGGCTATCGTCGATTCATTTCGATGATCATCATCAAAATGATGATGATACTTGGTCACGTAACATTCTAAAAAGTGATGATTGTAATGATCTTTTCAACAGCTTTGGCTATCCAAAATGTGATACGTGTAGATTATCCTCCTTTAATGGTGAGTATGGTGTAATTATTTTAGTTACCTGTAATTAGAGTGTTGTTGTTCTGTCTCTTCTTTTTCTCGCTCTCTCTCTATCATTTTTTTTCTCGAATCATTAAATGGTTACCAATATTCTTTAAGAATATATTTTACAAGATTCGGGCGTCGGCGGTTGAAATTCATCATCATCATCATCATTGAATTCAATATATAATCCATCACCATCACAACCAAAAAATTCGATTCAAAATCGATTCCGATTTTTTTTTTGGATTGCATGATGAAAGACAATTTGTTCTGCGTGGTCGCTTCATTCATCATCATCATTTCACATGAAATAAGATTGTGTTTGTGTGTGTGTTGTTTGTTGTGAAGAAAAAGAGAAAGAGAATTGTTGTTCAAATATTGAATTGTAAAGTACATCATCATCATCATCAGTAATGTCAACTTTGTCTAACTTAATTTCAGTTGATGGTCGTTTTTATTGTTTAATAATGACTCAATTTTCATTTAATTTTCATTTATTTTGCTTTCACTCTCATTCTCTTAATATGATTATATAAAGAAGAAAAAGTAAGAGAATCAATAAATTTGTTCAGTTTCAAACATGGATAAAAGTTAAACTTGTGTTTTTTTGGTTCGGCCGATATTTAATTTATAATTTATTGACTGTTCAATGGAAAACTACTAAATAAACTTTTTTTCTTCTTCTTTTCTTTTTCTTTTCAGTTATTGTCATATGAATGCCGTAATAATGGTGCAAGAATATTACCATTCTTAATAACAATATCATAAACATAATGGTAACCATAGTAAATTTGATCAAAATAATCACGAATTATTCTTGAAAATTGATGTTGTTCATAATGAATGAAAATCTGTCGAATATCATCATATTGTGGATATGTTGCAATTTGTATAAGTAAATTTGAACGTTTTGCATTTAATGTTGAACGTATTGATTGTTGTTGATTAATAGCAAAATTACGATAAGCATCAAATGTTTCTATCATTGCCATTAATAATTGATGATCAGAAATATTACGATTATGAAATGGTTGTATCATCAACAACATTGTCAAATGACATTCACTCATTAAATTATAAAATATTTCATATTGTTCACATAGTATATCCATACATTGATCAAAATAATCATTTGATTTAATCATTCCATTAACCAAAAGAAATTGTTGATTTGATCTACCCAAACAATATTGATCTTGATATTGACAGATTTGATTTTTATTATCTAATCGAGGAAAATGATTTTGTAATTGTTTACAATTTGTATCAGATTTACGTCGAAGTTGTTGTTGTTGAAATTGTTGTCGTCCTAATCGTTCAATATGCAAAATATTTTCAACAAAATCTTTACGAATTATTTGATAAAAACGTTCGATACGTTGTCGCATTTTTAAACAATCATTATTATCAATTTTTTCCGTCATTTTTTTCTCCTGAATTCTAAATTGAAAAATCCAAAATTCTGAAATTATTTAATTAATAGTCACTTATATAAGTATGTATTTGATTTGATTGTTTTTTGTTTATTAAATTAAAATGTTTTTTCGTTTTTCGTTTGTAGGGCCCCCTTTGAAATTGATCAATATTTAATTTGGAAATTCTGTTACAACCCAGAATTGTGATTTTGTGGAGAAAATTTTGATTTTAGACCAAAAGATTAATGAGTGTGCGGATAATATGTTTTTTACTAGCCCTGTTTTGGAAAATGAATGAAACAGTCATGGATCACTTGATTTGATTTGGGTAAAATGTACACACAAACACAAAGAGATAGATAAAGATAAAGAGATGAATCAAGAAGTTTGACGGTGAACAGAAAATATTGTCGCCAAAAAAAAATACGCGTGACAGTTTTGTATTTTCGAAATAGAGAATATTTGGAACACGGTGGGAGAAACACATTGGAGACCAGCCATACAGCCCTGGCCAAATTGAATTTTTCTTCTTTTTTGCTAGCTGGCTGGCTGGTTGTGGTCCAATTTCCCAAAAAAAAAACAGATTTGTTCCATTCTAATCGGTGAGATAGTCAAGAGAGAGAGAGAGAGAGAGAGAGAGAGAGAGAGAATGAATGAGTGAAAGTAAATCTTTTATCATTCGACAATTGGACAAAAAAATAAAATAAAATCTATCCATCTGGCAGCCATAGTCAACCAGTAAAAGAGAGATGGGGAAATCAAAATTTCGAAATAGAAAGAATCGGTTGAAGACCACTGAGCCGAATGATACATTCTACCAGCTATGTTTTTGGTGGCACTCGGTAATTGAATTTTAAATCATTTTTTATTTGTCGTCGTTGTTTCGGTTTGCTTGGCTGATTATTATACTCATCTTTTTTTTGCGAAATATCCAGAAGAAGAAATCGAAATTGAAATAAAACTTTTTCTTTTTTATTTGGAATACCATTGTAAAACTGAAAATCGAAATCGATTCAGGATCAAGATGATGATGAACACAAACAAACAAACGAACGAACAAGGAAGGTAGAAATAGGAATTTGTAATTGAATTTCTAGACAGACATGATGTGTGTGTGTGTGCGTGATGGTAGAGTGAATTAATGTTTAAAGTCAAAAAGAAAAGAAAAAAATTTGCTGAAAAAATCAGAATCACAGAATCATGATCTGATATCAGTGCATTTCAGAATGAATGGTGTGTGTACCCAGAGAAATTTGTTGGACATGAAAAAATGAGAATTTAATGAATTAATTAACATTACTCATTTACATGATTGAAAAATGTTTCGAGAAAAAAAAAAGAAGAGAAGAGAAACAAACATGATTTGCATTTCTCATCATCATCATCATTTATCTCCCCTTTTTTTTTGTTTGTTTGTTTGGTTACATTGAAAGAACCACCCATTCTGGGAATGATAAGAGACAAGATCAACCAAGTGAAAAACGAATAACTTTGTTGTTGTTTATCTCTCTCTCAACAATTCAGCCTAATTATCATATGTAAATATATTCAATTTCATCCATCAAAATAATAATATTATTCAATCATTATTTTTTGATGAATGAATAAATGAATGATGGACGACGATTATTAATGATGAATGAATGAATGAAACAATCTTGTCGATATAGCCCAAAAAAAAGTATCGTTATCGGATGACCAATATGACAAAATAGCCAACGGCTTTTTTTGTTTTCTTCAATGAGCAGCTGACATATAATAACGGTAACGGTCCAATAGATTTGCGATAGAGAACAAACAATAATATTATGACAACCTTTACCACCAGATGTAATTATTATTGATGATGATGATGTTGATGTTGTTGATGATTGTTAAAAGTTTGATTAAATCAAATCACAATCATGACGACCTCAATGATTTTGACTGAAATCAAATTTCTTTATCACATCATACCTAATTCTATTCATTTGTACGTGTGTGGCCCAATCAAAAAGCAGTGTGAATAATGATGATTTCATCAACAAAAATCATTCATGATTGTTCGTGGTTTGCATTCGAAATTTCCAAAAATTCAAATTCAATTTTCAATCCTTGTTGTTGTTGTTGTTGAACAAATGTCATTATTGTTTGCAATTGTTGTTACATATCGCTATAATCGGATTTGTTACAATTCAATGATCACTTGATTTTTTTTTTGTTTTCGTAATCACAAAAAAATGATGATAATGATGACCAGAAAAAAATGTAAATATCCGCAATGACCAGAAAAAAATGTAAATATCCGCAATGACCAGAAAAAATAAAAAAAATTCGAACAGTAAGTATCGATTATATCGATTGTTTTTGTAGAATTCTTGTGGCTGCTTATTTTACTTTTTTTTTTGTCGAAACTCGCTAGTTCGCAGACTCACAACTGTCTGTCTGTCTGTCCGTATATCTGGCTATTCGCGAGTGCAAGGCGCCCACCATCTTGTTGTTTTTGTTGTTTGTTTGTTGATGAAGAATATATGAGTCTGGTGTGTGTGTGTTTGTTTGTTTGGTGATGGTCATAATCAATTAAATGTTTAAATTTTCATTTCATTTATTGAATTCTTTTGGATCAAAAATTACTATTATTATTCGAAATTGAAGAATCTAATCTTGCCATCTTGTTGTTATTGTCATACAAATATTATTGTAAACCGTCCAAATAAATTGTTGATCATAATTGTAATGTGGTAATTGTAATATTGAAAATTATCGATGGATAATAATGAAATTGACGTTTTATTCAATAAAATTGATAATTTAAAACGTCATCCATTGTTAAGACAATTAAAAATTAAAGATCAACTTGATATTCCTCAAGCTTGTCTATTTGATAAAATAAGTAAAGATATTGGAAAAAAAGGTCAACAACAACAACAACAACATTCACCATCATCAATGAAACAAAATTCGTCATTAAAAGTGACCGATACACAGACAGTGATTCGATTGAATGAAGCATCTAAAGTGTTGGCAAATAATCAAACTACTACTGGTGGTGGTGGTAGTGTAAACAATCAAACAACCGAAATGAATTCAGAATTACGAATCATCATAATTGATGAGAATTGGAGCCAGTATTGTTACCGGATTAAAATCAATACACCATTCGGTAAATTAATCAATCGTTTTTGTCAACAGGTTCGAAAAGCTGACAATAAATCCGTATTGTTTTGGTATCATGGACGTTGTGTTGAAGATGATGATACACCACGTACATTAAACATTAAAGACAATGAAGTGATTCTCGCTCATTACATTAAATAATATGCATTTTTTTTTCTCACCTATTTAGACAATTTAGGCATGAAATTTAGTTTTTATTTTTATTTTTCACCATATATAATTTATCAAACAAAATCTTCATTCAAAATGTGTATAATTCTAACACCTATCTCTCTCTCTTTAGTGATTGAATTATTTTTCATCATCATCACCATTATTATTATTATCATTATTATGAAATTGGTCAATTGGTTTCATAATCTTTTCTTGATAGGATTGATTGATTGCAATTTGTATTTGTATTGTTTTTGCTACACAAACTCTTTCTTTTCTTTTCTTTTTTTGTATACAATTATTGCATTCTTCTGAATTGATCTGATCTGATGCTCTCCCTGTAATGTAATTATTATAATTATAATTATTTATCAAATTCTTTTTCATATTTCAATTGAAAATCAATTTTATTTAAATAAAAAATAAAATAAAATAAAAAAAATGTTTTTTTTCAAAAACCATATCGACCCAAGTGGGTCTCTATTGTTATAATATTTCTACACTGATATTGGCGCGACTCACGTGCAAGCTCACCAAGACATTTATTTTTTTTTTGTTGTTTTTTGGATCATAATAAAAATTTTGTTTAATGATGATGGCAAGGTCGAAACGTAAATTCTCTTCTTCAGATGATAATAATGATGATGATGATATTGAAGAATTGGGTTTATTACTAGATTACCATCAAGAAGATGAATCTGAAATGACCGATTCGAGCAATATTGATTCGAAAACAAATTGTGATCAATCTGTAATCAATGCAATACGTTTGAATCGTGGAGCATCATTTTTTTCTCGACTTGATCGAATTGCATCATTATATTGTAAAAGTGATCATTCAGATAATGATGATGATGATGACGAAGTGATTGATTTATCTAAATTGAACGAAACATTTAAACGAAAAAAACCTAAAGCTTCCACACGAGAACCTAGTCCAGACGATCTAAATAATTTATCAACTGAATCAGAAGATGATCGTTGTGATGATAGCGAATCGATTGGTTCAGAATCATCAACTGAAAGTGATGATGACCGAGAAGAAATTAAAAATGATGATGATTATGATGATGACAATGATGATAACGACAATTTCGATCATCATAGAGAAATTCCATCAAAAAAACCAAAAAAATTGCGTGATCTCTTTACTTCATCGACAAACAACGATTCGATTTTCGATCCTACTGACCACCGCAATATACGACCATCATCATCATTATCATCATCGTCATCATCATCATCATCATTAACTTTCAAAAAATTAATTGAATCTAAAAATATACGTCCTTTTTGAATGTTGCTGTATTTCAGTATTCGATTTTTTTTTCTCCCTCTTTCTCTCTTTCATTCATTATTTCTTCTCCCTTCACACATAAACAACTGCCTCAGTGTTTTTGATCCAGGTCCAAAGAGCAAAATCAAAACATTGATGATCATTTTTTTTCATTTATTAAATAAAAATTCTTAATTGTTTTCATCCAATAAATACGACTATTATTTGATTGTTGTTTTGATAAAGCTAAACAGAAAAAAAATTATGTTTTGTTGATTGGTCATTTTTGTTTTTTGTTTTGTTTTGTTTATGTGTTTGTTTTGGTCATTGATTAATCGATTTGAGTGAAATATATAGAAAGAATGAACACTGGTTCGGGCGGTGGTCGAAGAATGGCAACAAATATCAATGGTGTACGACAAAATAATAATTCCAAAAAATTTATTAGCTCATTTCGTCGTTTGAAACAAGATTATATGATGATTATGAAAGATCCAGTACCGTACGTTACGGTAGCACCATTACAAAATGATATTCTTGAATGGTAAAAATTTAATATTTGGATTAGTGGACCACTTTTTATTATTATTATTTTCTTTTAGGCATTATGTGATTCATGGACCAGAAAATACTGTTTATCAAGGTGGCATTTATCATGGCAAACTTAAATTTCCAATTGAATATCCTTTTCGACCACCATCCATTTATATGATAACACCGAGTGGCCGTTTTAAGACCAACACTCGATTATGTTTAAGTTTTTCGGATTTTCATCCGGATACCTGGAATCCAACATGGAGTCTATCCACAATACTTACCGGTTTATTAAGTTTTATGTTAGAAGAACATAATGCTGTTGGTTCGTTACAAGCATCGGACAGTGTACGACGATCTTATGCAAGGAAAAGTTTACAATTTAATCGTAATGATGCAACTTTTGTTGAATTGTTTCCCGATATTGCTTATGTATGTATTACATGTTTGGCATATATTGAATAATTGTCATTAATCGATATTCATTTACCAAAAATAGGAAATTACATGCAAATTGGAACGTGCAAAAGAATTAGAAGCAGCCAACCAAAAACAAACAAACAAAAATAGTCAAGAATCAAACAATTTGGCAAATAAAAATGGTTCAACAACGAATGATCAATCAGAATATGATCGTTTTAATCGTTTTGTATGGTCATGTATTTATAATTTGATTGCATTATTTATAGTGATTTTATTCGCCTACATTGTACAATGGGTTCTATCTGAATATAATCATTGATTTTTGTTAAATATCATATATAACCATTATTACACACACACACACACACACACATATATTAATTGTTTGTTGATTGTTACTAATTACGATTGTAAGTGAGAAATAATAAAAAAAATTTTAATTTTTCTTAACAAAAAATTTATTTGAATTTATAATCATTTTTATTATTCATTATCTTCTTCTTCATCAGCATCTTCGTTATTGATCTGGAAATAACGAAGTTCGAATGCTTCTTTCGATGTAGCAACCACACGAATCCAATCACGAAGATTATTCTTTTTCAAATATTTTTTTGTTAAATATTTGAGATAACGTTTTGAAAACGGTATTGTTGTATTGATTAAAATCTTGAATTTGTTACGTTCAACTGTAACGGCTGTTCCAAGATTTCCTGTCTTTCCATTAACCTTGATTCTTTCTTTGAGAAAAGATTCCTAGAAAGAATAGAGAAAATGATGTATAATGCGTCAATTTTGTGCAAAACTTGAGTTCACAATCATCAAGTCTACACTCGATGCATTGGATTTTGATTCATTTCATTCAATGAATCGATTTTAATTCAATACTTACAAAATCCGTTGCATTCATAATACCATCATCCACTGGTTTTGAACAATCAATCGAAAATTTCAATGCAACTTTTTTCAATTTTTTACCACCTTTTGTTTTGGCATTTTGAACATTTTGTTTTGTGCTTTTTTTAGCTTTCTATAATTAATCAAATTATTGTTTAATGTAAAATGAATGATATGATTTTTTTTCCAACTTACCACGACCATTTTTGCTGATTTATTGATCAGAATTTAGTTAAAAATCTAAAAATTGAGAATCGAAAAAATCCCAAACCACACACGTGTGAGTGAACAGTGCGAGAGAAAGGAAAAGGATATTTTTTTTCTATCATTCTCTGTGCTGCTCAATATACATTTTGTGTATCCAAAACAAGAGTAATTCATAGAGGATGTATTCAAAAAAAAAAAACTTTGATGAATCGGTGAATTGGATTTTTGATTTGTTTTGCTCATTTATTGATTGATGTTTTTTACTTGTAAATAACAATAATTGATTGTTTTTTTTCTAAATTAACAGGAATGATTGGAAATGTGAAACTTAACATTACCAATTAGTGATATAGAAAAACATTGAATTACCTTAATAAAAATGGGAACAACAGGTATAGAATTGTTTGTTGATTTGATTTTAAAATGTTTTCAATGTTTCTATTTGTTATAATAGATCAATCAAAATTAATGTTTTCAATTGGCCTTAGTGGCGATAGTTTGGATTCATCATCTGAAGATGATGTTATACCAATGCAATCACGAAAAAAGAAAAGAAGTTTTACACGAAAAAAGTATGCTATTAAATTAACATATATGTCGACGATTTATTGATAATTTTTGGTTTTTGTTTGATAAAAAAAAGTCGTAATAATTCTAGATTAGGATCATCATCATCATCATTTTTAAAAAGCAACTATTCATATGGCCTATGTACATTATTTAAATTTGTATTTGTTGTTATGATAATCATATCGGTCATTATTGGAACAGTTGTCATGTATAGTCTATCCAAACGAATGGATTCTCTTCAACTTTCCATTAGCGGAGGTAAGTAATTATTGCTATGTGATCATCTTATGTTTTTCTCATATATTTGTTCATTTGTTACAGTTCAATCAGCTAACAAAGATCTACCAGATGATTTACATTCATTACATTCGAAATATAAATCTTTAGAACAAGAATCGACCAATTTAAAAATTAATCTGAATAATGTTATTATGAGTACATCGAATCTAACACAACAAACTGCACAACTTCAACAGAAGCTCAATCAATTGGATTTGCCAACCGATGTTGAACAATTAAGAAAGGTTTGAAGTTTTGAATGTTTAATTTACTTTTTAATCATCAATGTTATTGATAGATGATTGCCGATATGAATAATGAATCGAAACTTTGGCAAAAAAATCTGGAATTAAGAATGAATGCATTGGAAAGCAGATTACAGTTATTGGAACAAAACCTATCCGTAATATCAAGCAGCAACAACAACAATAACCAGTCGGCATGGAATCAGAAAATCGAACAAATGATCACTGTGATAGACAATCAAATAGAACAAATGAATGAAACATTTGCCAATCTAACTAAACCTTCTTCTGTTGCCACTTCGGAATCATTGGATCGAAAAAAACTGGTGCTTGTTGGAAATCAGACTGAATCTGATAATGTTAATCATTAGTTTTGTCTAGTCGTTGTTATTGATCGTTTTTTTTATTATTATTATTTAAGAATAATATAATTTGTAAATAAAAAATAATACTAATGAATTTTTCCATTCAATTGATCAGATGATTGATAATTATATGAATGTTTATAAAAATTACCAAACATTATTAGATAGATAATTGCCTGTGTTATAAGTAACCAACGAAAAAGTTGTGGATAATTATAATGTTGAAAATTAAGATAGAATCCATATGATCCAAGTATAAAAAATTGTATCAATTGTAAACAGGTTATATATCGTTTCCACCAAAGATATGATCGAATACGATGATCAGCTAATGCTGCTAATGCATAATAAGTATACATTACTGTATGACAAAAAGAATTTAACATGGCAAACAATCCTAAAACCGGCATCGTTGGACTCATCTATTTTGATTTAAATAAAAAACAAATGAAATGAAATGATGATATCCAAACAAAAATACAAACCCAATTGCAAAGCCATCCAACTATAGGAACGGAAAAATGATGATAAACATGTAATACGGTTATATGATCATTCTTTTTTCGTAATACAAGAAATACGGTGTCAATATAGTCGATAAATTTACTAATTTGATAATAATAATAAAGATTGATAATTTGTTGAGTGCGTTCACTAAAATCATTGGCTGATGGAAAATGAAAATTGAACAAATCTTGACCATTATTTGTCCACCAAAATGATGCATAGAAAAAATATAGATTTATTACGACTAATAATACATTGAACATAAACATTGGCAAACGTATTTCAAATGGTTTTCGATAACGCATCCATTCGATACCAAAACGAATGGCCAATAAATAACTAAATGATATGAGTAACAGTTTGTATGGACCATCATGCATTAACCAATTATTAACCACTCTTTTATCGCAATAATTATTCCAATATTGAGCAGTGAATAGTTGCATGATCATTATTCAAATGACTGCTGTTCATTTTTTTTTTTCGATTCTGATCCAAATAACATTCGGTTGCCACAACATATTGTTGTTGTTAGTCATCGTTTTTCTTTTGAACAAACAAAAGTTTATCGATCAGGCAAAAAATCGATCCCAGAAAAAAGATCCAAAAATCTGGTTTAATTCTCACGGGTTTTTGGCTTTCAAAGCATTTATGATAAACGACTTTTTTTTCTTTTGTATCTTTATTGTAACCAGCAAAAAAAAAATGATTACATTACATCGAATGGATAAATTTTTTGTTAAAATTTTTTTATTTAAAAAGCAATTTTTTTTCATCCAAGATATTTTTTACTTAATAATGATAATTTTTTTGATAAAAATCCAGGTGTAGAATGTGGATGTGGTGGTGGAGAAATTCCCATCATCGATCGAGTTGGCCATTGATTTAACCGATGATATGGATGATAATTGTTTGATGATAATTCCGGATTCATTGACATTATTTCAGGTTGATGTGAAACAAATGATGATGATGATGATGGAATTGGTATGGAATGTTTGTAAGGAAACATTGTTTTTGTTGATAACGGTCCGGTCGATGATGGTGTTGGGGATGGATTATTGACAATTTCATTGAATGATATTGTTGGATTTGTCGGAAATGGTTGAATCATACCTGTATGACTTGTGATGATTGGTGCAGCTGGAATCGATGTCGATGAAATTCGATGAACATTAATCGGTATCGGTTGTTCGATTGGTTTCCAATTTATTTTGTTGTTGAGTATTTGAGAATTTGAATCATAACGTTGTGTCGAAATCAATTGACCATTAGCTGTAATCGGTGGTGATGATAAAAAATGACCACCATAATGGTGATTATTGCCATGATGATGATGATGATGATTATCATTTAAACATTCGATTGGATGATGTCGATAAATTTTCGAATAATAATCTTTCAAATTTGAAGGAACAAAAGATGAATCGATTTTGATATCATTATTAACAAAGCCTGCAGGTAAACGTAAACCATGTGAATATAATGCTCGATTATTATGATTATTATTATTCGGATATTCAGTAATAAGTACTGGTGGTGGCCCAGGACCATCCAGATTAACCGGAATATATGGTTCCGATTCCGGTATCATAAATATATCTTCTTGAATATAATTACGATTACCATATTTATTAAACAATTGATCACAACATGAAAGATATTCTTGAAAATTATTTGCATCTGGGCTAGATGAAATATGAGATTGTCCACGACGATGAGATAATTGTTTATCATTGTTTTTAACATCATTCGATGTTGAAGTTGATATTAATTTTGTAAGATGATCTTTATGATTTTGAGTTTGTGTTTCATGAGCGGACATTAAATCCTGTTCGAATTGAATTGGATTTGTACTTGATAAACTGGATAAATCTAATTCACTAGTTATTTCACTTTCATCATTATCATTAGCATTATCATTTTTTATTGTTGGCTGCCATTCAATTTCATAAACATTATTGTTGCTCGATGTTGTTGTTGTTGTTTCATTACCATTATCATCATTATTGTTGGTTACATTTGAAAATCGTCTCCAAATATCATTGAAAATATGATCTTCTTTTTTGGATAAATATTTTTGCAACAATTGTGGATTATTTTGTTTGATAATATCAAAATTTTTAATAACATTCATTACATTTGAATTTGTTTCACTATTCAATTGACGATTTATCGATGGTATATGATAATTGATTTTCGATACTGTTTCGTTATTGTTTGTTTCGATATTAGTATCATTAATGGTGGCCATCGGTGATGAATAAATGGGATATACGATAGTATCTTCATTTTTTTGTAAACTTTGATTGATCAATATTGTTATGATCATCAATAATAATAATCCATAAAAATGTCCATACATATTTAAATGGTCCGATGTTTACGATAAAAAACTAAAATCAAAATGAATGATCATTCAAAGATTGAATCGATTCAATATCGTTAGATTCTCTCAACAACAAAATAACAACAGGATACAATGATTGACCGAGTCTCACTTACATGATGATAAATGAATCGCTTGAGCGATTCTATTTTTCTTTTTTTCGGACAAACATACCGAATTTTTCTTTGAATAAAATTATTTCGAAAGAAAATCAAAAGTTTTTCTTTTTTGTTTATTCCGGATCTAATTTATTACTTTCATCGTAAACATGCATTGTGTTTTCAAAATTAATCGACCGAATAATTACGGAACTTGAATGAATCGAAGAAAAGAAAAAATTTCCCGAAAAATTTTTTTTTTCAAACAACACGTAGTTTATTGATGAACCCAAAAAACAATGAAAGTTTTTTTTGGCGCCAATGTTGCTTTGTTCACTCTCTCCCTCGGTCTGTGTGTGTGTGCTTTAAAGAGCTTCCATTCTTTTAAACAGCTTTTTAACGCAATTGTTTTCGGGTTTTTAATAAAAAAAAAATTTTGTTTTAATTATGTCCTCATCAATAAACGATCAAATTGGGCAACAATCGCCTAATAAACGACCTCGAACTCCATCATCTGAAGGTTCGAATAAACGTCGAAATGTTGACCAAAGCCAAAATATTGCCAGCTCTCCTATGCATCGAATGGTAGGTGATGGTTCATCCGAATTGAATAACATTCTTCAACCATCATCATCCATTCGAATGGTAAATTCACAAGATCATCTTTATCGTGGTAGTTCACCAATGCCATACGATCTTTCATCCGATTTTGGTCAATTACCACAAATCCTGAGCAATTATCGTCGTGATGATGTTCGTAGCGATATGTCTCGAAGTGTACGACAAATTAATCTCAATCAAGCCGAACCTTTATCAACTGCCGCTAGTGAATCAAGTGTCACACAATCTGGATTAGGAACACATTTAGTAGTCTGGGGAACTGATGTATCGATCAATGAATGTCGTAAAAAATTGAAACAATTCTTACAACGATTCGAATTGGATCCAGATAACGATGATGATGATCAACAATCTAGCCAAAATTATTTTGAATTTGATGGAGGAGATTCTATGACTCCACAAATGGAATCTTATTATGTTAAAAAAATTCGTCAATGTCTTATTGTTGGCGATTTTTTTCTCAATATCAATTGTCAACATTTATTAAAATTTGATGAAGATCTTTACAGGAAATTGGTCAACTATCCACAAGAAGTTATACCTACTTTTGATATGGCATTGAATGAAATTGTCAATGAAATTTGTCCGGATGAAAATTCTCGTATTGATGGTCAACTGTTTCAACGACTTTGTATTCGACCGTTTAATGTAAAGAAAACATCGAATATAAGAAATTTGAATCCTGAAGACATTAATCAATTAGTTACCATATCAGGAATGGTAACACGTTGTTCGAATATTATTGCTGAAATGTCTATTGCTTATTTTGAATGTGCGGTTTGTATGTGGGGTACGAATGTCGAAGTAGATCGTGGATTGATAGCCGAACCACAAGTTTGTCGTAATTGCGATACACGATATTCATTCAAATTGATTCATAATCGTTCAAAATATACTGATAAACAACAAGTAAAACTTCAAGAATCACCTGATGATATGCCAGCTGGTCAAACACCTTACACTGTTTTATTGTATGCTTGTGCTGATTTAGTTGACAAAGTTCAACCAGGCGAACGTATTACCGTAACCGGAATATTTCGTGCCACATCCATACGTGTAAATCCAAAAACAAGAAACGTTAAATCAGTTTATCGAACACATATTGATGTTGTTCATTATCGTAAAGCTGAAACTAAACGATTACATGATACATATTTAGAATTGAAATTACCTAAAGAACGTATCGATCAATTGATTGCTATGTCAAATTTACCAGATATTTATGAACGTTTAGCTCATTCATTGGCACCAAGTATCTATGAACATGAAGATATTAAAAAAGGAATCCTGTTACAATTATTTGGTGGTACACGTAAAGATGATCCAGGTTCGAATAATGGTTTGAATAATCATTCAACAACATTTCGTTCGGAAATTAATATTTTACTTTGTGGTGATCCTGGTACAAGTAAATCACAATTATTACAATATGTTTATAATCTTGTACCACGTGGTCAATATACAAGTGGTAAAGGTTCAAGTGCTGTTGGTCTTACTGCATACGTAACAAAAGATCCGGATACAAAACAAATGGTTTTACAAACCGGTGCACTGGTTTTAAGTGATGGTGGTATTTGTTGTATCGATGAATTTGATAAAATGAATGATTCAACACGATCAATTCTGCATGAAGTAATGGAACAACAAACATTATCCATAGCAAAAGCTGGAATTGTTTGTCAATTGAATGCACGAACATCAATTTTAGCTGCAGCTAATCCAATTGAATCACAATGGAATAAAAATAAAACAATTGTAGAAAATATTAAACTACCACCTACTTTGATGTCACGGTAAGTAGTAAAATGACAATAATGTTGTTGTTAATCTTGATCTCTTTTTTATTCTGAAATTTTAGATTCGATTTGATATTTTTACTTCTTGATCCACAAGATAATGAATATGATCGACGATTAGCTAAACATCTTGTATCATTGTATTATAAATCATCGGATTCGATTGCTGATGAACGACAATTTTTGGATATGAATCTGGTTAAAGATTATATTGGTTATGCTCGTGCTAATTTTCATCCAATCTTAAGTAACGAAGCACAAGAATCACTTAAAAATGCATATGTTGAAATGCGAAAAGTTGGTTCGGGAAAAGGTCAGATAACAGCATATCCACGGCAATTAGAATCATTAATTCGATTAGCCGAAGCACATGCAAAAATGCGTTTCAAAAATACTGTCGATATGGAAGATGTAGAAGAAGCTAGACGATTACAACGAGAAGCTATCAAACAATCGGCTATTGATCCTACATCAGGTAGAATCGATATTTCTATATTAACAACCGGAACTAGTTCACATAATCGTAAAATTAAAAATGATGTTTTGAATGGTCTACGACAATTATTGGATATGTTAAAACATGAATTAATACAACGTGGCCAAGCTGAAGATAATTATGTTCATTTTGAATATCAACAAGTATTTAATGAATTTCGATCAACATCATCGTTAGCCGTTACACGAGATATGTTTGATGAAGCTATGGTCACATTACGTGATGAAGGTTTTTTCGAAATTTCAGCCAACAAAATGATTCGTTTAGCCGTTTGAATCAAATGAATGAAAAATCAATTTATTATCATTTTTTTTACAATAATACAAAAGAGTATTTTACAAATATGAAATTTTGTTGTTGTTGTTTTTTTGTAATATTTTTCTAATGAATGATGGTGTATCATGCTTCAGCCGAATCTAATATAGACATACTATATGCTAGATCCCAATAATGTTCGACGCCATGATTTTTAAATATTTCTCTAGCAAAACTTTCATTTGGACTATTTTTAAATTTTACTTCACCAAATGAACGATTTTTAACCAAACCTTCCCAAACCAATAGACATTTATTTTCACATTTTTTTTCTACGTTACCGTTACTGCTGGAATCATGTTCATCTGTAAACAAAAAAAAATAAGATTTTTTCATAAAATTCAAATTCAATTGTAAATTTATCATTTTACTTACTTAAATCACCGTGTGCAACCAAATCATCTGACCATTTTATACGATGTAACATAAGACGTTTGAATTTTTTCTGCTGTTTAGGACCACCTTCAACAACAACAACGTTAATATTTTTATAGATAACAACCACACCAGTCATTAATAATTGTTTGATATTTGCTTCAACTTTAAATTTTTTAGCCGGATTATTTAGATCCAAAATTCTATAAACAGCAACATTTACGCCAGTATTTGTATCTTCTTTGATTTTACGTATTTTTTTCTGTTTTTTCTGTTCTCCGGTTAATCGTCGTGCTGCATTAGCTTCTTCGTGTGCTTTTTGCCGTCGCATCATTTGTTCACGAACATGAGCTTCCATTTTGGTTGGATCCTGAACAACTTGTTGGCCAAGTACTCTCATCATATTGGATATTTTTAGTTTTGGTTCGGGTGGTGGTTCCAAACCTAAACGAATTTTATCCTGTTTTTCTTTCCATGCTTCTCGACGATTTTGCCGACGAAGTTTTTTCTGTTCTTTTTTCGTCAAAAATACGGGTAAAAATTGTGGTTTTGATGTTTCATGCGGTGGTTTCATCTGAATAGGATGTTCAATAAGCTGTGTAATTCCATCATATTTTTCTTGAAATGGTTTTGTGTTTTTGATGCATTCATCGTAGCTATTATCTTTCATGATAAAACTGTCCCACCATTCCACAACAGGAATTTCATCATCTTTTGCTTGTTTTTTCGGAACAATCGAACTAAGCAAAGCTAAACGTGCAGCTGCACTGATACCAGTTCGTTTAGCTTTTTGAGCAATATCCCTTTGCAATAGTTCCAATTGAGCTTTGGTTCGAATTTTATTACCAATCGATTCGAATGTTCCTTTATCATGAAAACGGAATGTTTTTCGTATTCGAACAGGCGCTTTACTTTCTAATCGTGTATCGATAAATTTTTGTTCAGCATTTGCTTGACCTGATTGTTTTTCATGATTCAATTTGATAAATTGTTCTTTTTTTTGTGCTCGTATATTCGCTTTCAAAGTGGGCATTCGTTGAATCAATTGTACTTCTTTGCCAGTTTGATCAACGGTTCGACCTTCAGCATTCAAAATTAACGGTGTTGGTCGTACTGTTCCTTTATGAGTAAGATGAGCTGTTCGATCATTATTTCCATTATTATCAGTTGATTGAATCGCTCCCAATGAATTGGAAAAACGAGCTTGAATTTGTGCACGTAATTGTGCAATTCGAGCTTTACTATCGATCGAACTTTCTGACATCTTTTTTGTTGAAAAGATGAAATTTTTTTTAAATAAAAAAAGAAAATGATTTCCAACAATAATTTAGACAATAAGATAAAATCAAAAGAAAAACTTTTTGGAACCTTCGAAAAATATAGTGCACAAACTCGTGTAATGTATACATTTCTGAAAACTTTTTCTTTCCAAGTGTCATGTAGGATTTTCCGTAAAGTTTTCTGTCAAAAAACGAATTTATTCAATTTTTTTTTTTGGTTAAAGATCAAATTATCAAATTAGTTTTTTTTATTTAATGATAAATTTTTTTCAATAATCCGGAGCAGGTGCAGCTATAATTTCAAGAATATCCTCATAATTAATCCAATTTTGACCGGGACGAACATTAGCTTCTTTAAGAAGATTATGAAATTCTTTGGAAGTTAATTTTTCACCACAATCACAAAGTAAATGATTAAAATCGGCTAAAGAAATTTTTCCAGTACGATTAGGATCCATTGCACGAAATCCATCAAGAATTTCGGTAGGGATTTTTTCCCGTACCGAATGTGTATGCATTATGTCTAATAGATCGGCAAATGTAATTTTTTCTTCTGAAATCATTTTCGAGAAAAAAAATCATTAAAACCTTGTGGATAAATCCAAGAAATTGTAAACCTTTTTGCTTAAAATAATTATCAAGTTCAGGCTCAGTTGGTGACATTCCCAATGATCGCATTACATGTTTCAATTCATCAACTCTTGTTATTAAACCACCGTTTGTTTTTGTCATCAAATAAAAACAATCACGAAATTGATCAATATCTTGTTCTTTAAAATATAATGCCTGATTTTGGGTAAACGATAATCGTATTTTAAAAATTAATAAACATTTTTATTAAGAAAAAAATCAACATACCATTTTGCTAAATGAATTAAAAACCAAAAAACATTTAACGATTAATATTTCATTCAATTTTAATGTTGAATATAGAGATCTGAAAGAAAACAAAAACCTTAACCTTATATTGGATAACTTGACTCAACGATGATGCTATGAACCACTATGACAGGTAAACAACAGCAACAGGTATTGTTGTTGTTTTTTTTCGCTGAGCAAACTTGTTTTTGCATATAGCTGTTTTTTTTTCTGATTTTCAATTTTCAAACGGATCATATTTTACTTTTTTTGGCGCGAATATATGATCATCATCGACTTTTAAACTTTCGTTGATTTTTAAAAATCATTTTTAAAACGGATGTTTTTTCGAGCAAAATTTTTCGTTGGAAAAAAACAAAACAAACATTCGAATTCTAACTAATTCTTTCGAACGATTCTATATTCAAATTACGCATGCGTTAATGGAATAATTCTTCTTTTTTTACTTTACATTCGTTCTTTTACTCATTCTTTACTCGTGTTTCAATCAAGTTCTTCTTCTTCTTCTTTTTTCCAGATAAAAAGCTAAATTTTTTCGTTTGTTTTTTTTTGCCAAATAAAACCATGATAATTTCCATGTGTAATGCATGCTTGTTTTTTTTTTCAACCATGGTTGGTAAAAAATTAGCTTCATTATTTAATGTTTTGTTGATTGATTTTGATGAAATTTGATTAATCAATCAACAATTTTTTTTTAATGTCCATTCGATAATTCGCGAATCAAAGCAATGTTTATTTGATTTGTTTGAATGTTATAATTCAATTTGTATTTTTTGTTCTCGTTTTCATTCACTTTCTTTCGTTCTCTCTATATCTTTCGTTTTTTTATTTGTTGCTCTCATTGCTCTCATATTAACATACACACACATCACATAATCATCATCATCATCATTTATAAATGTGTCAAAGAGAAAAAAGATTCGTCGGTTTTTAATGTGTGGAAAGTAAATGAAAAAAAAAAATCTTTCCGTGTATGAGATTTTGAATAAAACACGCACAGACAGACACATCAGTGGCAATCATTTCATCATTTTTGTTTTTAGTTGGCCATCGCTACCAACCCAGGCGTTGAACCGACTACACTACAACAACAACGACGATATCTTTTGCCATATATGGATGTCATTCATTCAAATATAATAATATCGTCAAGCTAGCCGTGTTTTTTTGTTTTGAATGGCAAATGTTTGTGTAATAATATTGTGGTCGATCCTATCCTATCCCCAATACATAAGCTTCGATTACCTAAGAATTCAAAACAATTTTTTTTTCACTATAGTTTGTTATTAATTTTTGTTGGTCTCAAATACCATATATACTCATCATTATCATTTGCTTCTACAATGAACATTGATTGATAATTTGAGTCAAATTTCTATATTATAATCATCGTTTTAGTTGTTTTTTTTAATTTTTTGGGAATTGTTTGTCCCACTACCCATCTAATTATAAATCTTAAATGTGGATCATTTGGTTATATGGATCAATAGCTGTGCTAATAATCAGTTTAGCCGGTCTATTAGTGATAGTATTGTTGCCAAAATTACAAACCGATCATCAAAGTAATCTTAGCCAGATATTTGTCGGTTTAGCAGTTGGAACATTATCTGCTGATGCTTTATTGCATCTTTTACCACATGTAAGTTTATTAATATGATTTTTTTTCTTAAATTTTAAATATAATTCAAAAAATTGCGATGTTGATTTGATCATAGGCATTTTCTTCACAATTAAATCATGATCATCCTAATAATGAAACAACGTTTGAACATCAAGCTGAAAACATTAGCCACAATCATGCCAATTCTGTTTGGTATGGCCTATTAGCTCTTCTCGGTATAATAGGCTTTTTATTTTTTGAACGTTTGACTATAATATTCAATGATCTAATTAATCAACCTGATGAAAAGATAGAAGAAACAGCAGCGGCCAAATGTTCGGCAACAAATTCCGAATTTTTACCACCTGATCTTCAGAAATTAAATCATCATCATCATGAACATGAAATGAAAGAGCTTCACGAAAAGATTGATGTGATTAAAGCGGAAAATAATCTTGAAGTGCATGATGAATGTCATCGATCAACTATTTCTTATCCTAAACCAAATGGTGATGGTTATATTCATATAGCATCTCATCATCATCATCATCATCATCGTGCACATCGTGGTCCAAGTGCTGCTTTTATGGTACTTATGGGTGATATTGTTCATAATCTATTTGATGGCCTGGCTATTGGTGTGGCATTTGCTGGAATGGGAATCAGTGGTGGTATGTAACAAGCAAAATTTTCTATCAATTTTTTGTTTCATTTTTGTTTGGATTTAGGTATAAGTACATCGATTGCCGTCCTTTGTCATGAACTGCCACATGAACTTGGTGATTTTACCATTATTATACGATCGGGCATGCCATTAAGAAATGCTGTCTATTGGAATATTGTTGCATCTATTACCTGCTGGTTTGGTATGTGTATAGGAATATTTCTTGGCTCAATAAAAGATGCATGGCTATCGGCTTTGGTTGGTGGTACATTTCTTTATATTTCACTTGTCGATATGGTACCTGAATTAGATTCCTGTCCACATCTTCCATCGAAAAGTCGAGCTGTAAAATTAACTGTTCAAATGATTGGCATAGCTATTGGTATAGCAATCATGTTGCTCATATCATTGTATGAAAATGAATTTCATTTAATTTTAGCCAATAATGATGAACACCATCATCATCATGTTCATCATCCTCATAATCAACCATTCAATGTACATCAATCATCATCGATTGATCTTGTTCATGAACATGACCATCATTTACATCATCATCAACCAACCAATTAATTGATCAATAATACTTTGATATGTTTCAATGTCATACCACCTATATATTACTAATAGAAGCACAGTATACAGGAGCACACAAATCACACACTATCAAAACAAAATGCGATGTGGTTAACAATCAATCTGCAATCTGTGATATTCAAGAGTTTGATGTTTGTTTTTATTTTTTGGGTTCTATTTTTCTTGATCTTCACACAAACACACAAAAACAAAAAAATGGAATGCAGTTTTTGATTTAGCCAACCAACAAATCCCCCTCTATCTCAATTGAAAAAATTATTCAACCAAAATTATTATTATTATTTTTTTGCTACTTCATTCATAGAGAATATAATTTTTTTTGTCAATTTTAAATGATTCAACATTAAATTATCGTTTTTATTAATGAAAATAATTAATTTTATTTAATTTAATTAATGTTATTTTAATCAAAAAATCCAATCATAAGTCATTGTTTCATGTTTATCGATTTTCTTTGTTGTTGTTGTTGTTGTTGAAGAACAATGTTCATTATCATCATTATCATTGATAATGGTTGATTTATTCTGACTATTATTATCATTATCATTATCATTCATAATGATGATCACATTATTATTGGCACGACTAGTTGATGAATTATTTTGTGGTAAATTTTTCAACATTTCAATTAACAATGGTAAACGTGTTGATGAACTTTTATCTTTATCTTTATTATGATGATGATGATGATGATGACGATGATGATGATGATGATATTTTTTTGTTTGTTTTATAAATTGATGATTCAATAGATCAGCGGCTGTTGGCCTAAACAGAAAAACAGAAATTTTTTCATTTTGAATGTTTTTTTTCCCAAATTCAATTAGCTTACCTTGAACTACTATCAAAATTTAGACAATGATCAATGGTAAACATATGAAAATGTGATGAAAATGTACGATTCTTGTATAAATTATATTTTTCTTGTACTTCGTTCGAAATGTCTGTTTTTTTAAAAAAAATCTGAGAATTAGATCATCGATAATTGATAAATTACAAATACCTGGATCGTTGGTGGGAAAATTACGAATTTCATCACAAGTTGAATCTAATGGTCGAGGAAAATTTCCAGTCAATTTATCCAATAACATTTCAGTAAGGACAATATCTTCGAATGGTATACAACCATTTGCCAATTCACAGCATACAATTCCTAAACTATAGATATCGGATTTTGAATTATAACCAAGTAGATTTTGTTCTAGAATTTCCGGTGCAAGAAAATTCAATAATTTGGCAGTTATATGTCGTGGATATTGATGAATTTTTGGTTGCCAACGACCCATTTGTATAACATTAGCAGAATATTTTAGACCAGTAAGAACACATGAACCATTAGCCATGATTAAAATATGTGAACCACAAACAGCACGATGTATAATACCTTTACGATGTAGATAGTTTAAACCATTCAAAACATCTTTGATTATTAATGCAATAATAGATTCGGGTAAACCATTCGGTCTAGACCATTGATCAGCAGATCCATATTCAGCCAAAGGCATAACTTGCCATAGATAGTTTTCATTGACAAATGATGTTAACATTTGTATCACATTTGTATGTCGTAATTTGGTCATCATATTAATTTCATTAATATGTACATCAATCAATGATGATTTTGGATCACAATTATCATTATTATTACCCGATGATTCTAAATCAATAATTTTGATTACCAATTTAGTATCAGTATCGATATGATCAGCACGTATAATTTTAATAAATTTTGTTTCATATAATGGATTTTGTTGTTGTTGTTGACGATAATATTTTGGATGCCATGCTTTTGATTGATTTAAATCGACGGTTAATTTTTGTTGACAACAATTATTATTATTATGTTGACAGATCGAATGTTGTTGTTGTTGTTGTTGATCACAATTACAATCATGATGACTACTGATTGATCGTCGAATACCAACGACCATTTTACCGATTGGTGTACTCAATTTTTTATTCATATTTCGATGTTCGAAAGCCAAAAAACGACTGACCAAAAAAAAAAATCTTTACAAATTTTCGTATTCGTTCGTTCACAATCAATTTTCTCTATAGAATATCGTCATTTCAAATTGATGATTCGAATTTGATTATCCAAATGGTGAATGTCAATGATGATATGATTGATTGGCAAAAGAAAAGTAAAAAAAACCACCATCGACAAAGACAAAGGTATCAAACATCAATTTACCCAAAAAAAAACCGAAAAAGAAACGATCATGTGTTTTATTATCATCAAAAAAAAAATTTTGTTTACATTATTTGGAAGGGCTACAAAATTCTGATGTCTTTTTCAATAGCAGCAGCATTGACATCTATTGACTAAAATGTTCACTAACCTATATCTACCCATTCATTCCTATTCCGGTTAGAATTCGATTCGATTTTTATTTCATTTTTTTCATCAAAAACTTTCTCAAATTGAATTCTTTTCGATTTTTTTTTCGTTGTTTCTTTTGTGATTATCGATTGTTCCTTTAACTAATGCTTGTCCGGCAACCATGATTATTATCATCACCAGTAGCTTGTTTTGTTGTTGTTGTTGTTGTTGATGATGATCATAATCATCATTAACATTAAGAAACAAGAACTTTGTCAAGATTTATGTGTTTGTGTGTATGTCCACCATAACAACGAATAAAATGAACAAAACATACCACACAACACTCAATATTCTCTCTCTCTTTTGCTCATTTAAATCATTCTCTTTCTTTTTTTTTCTTTTTTGAATGATCAAATCCATTTCGAACGTCTAACGACGATGATCGTGTAGCGGTGGTGGTGTAATGGTGGCATATAATGCATTGCACAAGACAAAAAAAAGCAAGTTTTTTTCAATCCAGTTGATTTCATTGATTTCATTCATTCCATTCACACACACACACACACACACCATCGTGTGATCACCAAGTACATATCTGACCATCTACCACCACTATCATCATAATCATCATCATCAATACACAGGCATAATACATTTCCTGACCATTTTTTTTTGTTTAATGATCAAAAATTCGGCTTGATATTTGTTGCTGCTACTTTTTTTTTCTTCTTGAATATCAACAACTCTACTGTGTGGTGGTGGGGGGAATTGATGAATTTCAAAAAACAAAAAACGAACAGCTTTTTTTTTGATTATTCTTGTTTTTTTTGGTTTGTTTTCTATCATCCAAATAACCAGATCGACAATAATGTTTTTATCATTATTATTGCCATGTGGCCATAATCATCATGATCAACGTTCAACAACAAAGAATTACAACAACATTGAGCAACAACAACATTGAATTTAATTTAAATTTGATTTGAAATTTGGGGTTTAAATTCGATTTTTCACTTCAATTTCATTGTTTTTTCATCAATCAACCACAACCAAGTGAAAGTGAAAACAAAAATCAATTGAAAAATGAAATACGAAAATAGTGGCCAAGAACAACCAAGAATCACATAATAATGTGTTTGGATTGGATTGGATTGGATTGGTGTTTTTTTGTATATGGGCGTTTTATCATCCCAAATCCAAATTTTTCATTTTCATTTAGCTTTTTCATCATCTTCTTCTTCTTCGGTAAGTTTTTCTATTAATCCTGATTACTTTTTTAGTCGTCGTATTTGCTGCTGTACATGTGCAAAATTCATTTTTTTTCAATCATGATGATGATATTGTTGTTTTTTTTGTTGTTGTTGATTCCAACCTATATTGGGCGACAACTGAAAAAAATTGGTTGGCTGGTAGTTGTTGTTGTTCCTCATCCGTCACATTTTGATTGTTGTCACCGCCAACAACAACAACATTAACAGCAGCAACAAAATCCGTGTAGTTGCATTTTATTTAGGTGTTTTAGTTTGGTTTGTTAGTTAGTTTTTCAAATTTTTTTTTTTCATTTAAAAAGGTTGAAATTTTATCATCATTTGATCATTTGATCTTTATGTTTTTGTTGTTATCTTCAGTCATCCGGTTTATTTAGCCATTTAGCTAGTTTGTCGTTTGTTTTTGTTTTGTTTGTCGTGTTTAATAATAGTCGTCGATTTTTTTTCTCATTTGTTGTTATTCATCAAACTGAAAAAAAACAAATCAAAAAAGGTTTGTTTGAATATTCAATCAAAAATATATTTCATCAGAATTGATTATGAAATTTTTGTTAATTTTAATTAAACTTTTGAAAAACTTTTTGTTTTTTCTCTCTCTTTTTGAAGCAATAATGAAATGTTTTGTTCAATTTTCTGCTCAATTACAATTACAATGTTCGAATGTTTTGTTTTAATTATCATTTTTATTTAATTGAAATGATAATCGTTTGCACATTCACATCCTTACAATAAATGATGATGATGATGATAATGAAATAATGCCTTTATCCTTACCTTATCTTAACCGTGATGATGATGACAATGATGATCATGACATCCAAAAATGTTGAAATTCATTATTATACCTGGATTATCATTTGATGATGATCGTCTTTATTGCAGTTTGGCTTATGGATTATTTATAAGCCTTCTTTTCCTCGCAATTTTATGGCTTTTTAATGATCATTTTATTAGCTATTTATCAGTCAATGAATGTAATTCTTTTTCTATTTTTTCTTCTTTCTCATTTTCGGATGTGTTTTAGTACAAAAATGATGATTTTAAAAAAACCCTCAAAATAACATTTTGTGTGTTTCTCTCTTTATCTATCATGTGTGTCTGAATGAATCGATGAATTTTATTGAATTGAATGAATCGATCAATTGATCGGATTGAGTGAATAAAAAAAAGTGACAAGCTACCTTGAATATTGAAGTTTCGACTGATTGATGATCATATTGTTCAGTTTTTCGTTTCCAGTTTCTTTTGAAAATAGAAAAAAAACATCTAAGCAATAAACAACCGGAACTTATCATCATTGAAATCAATTATCAATTTTTTTTCAATATAAAAAAAAAGTTTTAAAGAGAAATTTTATGTTGTTGAAAATCTGTTAAGCTTTCTGTTAATTTTGATAAAAGTGTGATGTTTGTGCGAAAAAAAATTGATAAAGTTTTTTTTATCTCGTGAAACCACCATTCATAATCCTTAAATTGCCCAAATTGTTGCTGTCAGTCAAATCTAACCCCCAATTAGCCAAGGGTATTGAATATATTTTTCTGTTTTCCTTCGCATCTTTTGGATGATAAAAGCGATAATAATAATAAAAAATTTTATTTTCAAATGACAATACCGTTAGTCTTTTTAAAAAACTTTTTCATTTATGCAATTCTTTGTTGTTGATGATAAAAGCAGAAAAAAAGAGGGCAAGGCAAACCATGATGATTTCGAAGATTAGTTAAAATATTTATAGACGAAAAATTATGAACTGTATTAGTCTAATCTGTCATAACAGAAAAAAGGATCATTTTGTGTTTGCATGTGGTTATTATTATTAAAAAGTTTGAGCTTTTGAAATGAATGAAAAATGAAATGATAAAATTTCAATTTTTTTATTGATCATCTTTATCATGTGACAAGAATAGCAGCATTTCTTTCTTTCTTCTTTGTTGTTGATTATAATTGTCTATTTTTGAATTTTGACTTTTGATTTGTTATCAATCAATCAATGTGAAATAATGATAATTTTTTGTTCAAAATTAGCAACAAATTCGGCTATTTCAATCCTAATCAACAAACTGAAAAAATCAAAAGCAAAACGCGAAGCCATTGTTTGATTACATCATCGTGCCATCATCAAAATCAAAATTACCCTGCCTACACAAACGAAACAAAAAAACTGTAAAAATATATATAGATCATGTGGCAAATGACATCAAATCAACAATATCAACAATTACCAAATATTCATTCATCATCATCATCATCGACGACGACAACAACAACATCAAAAATCATTAACCACAACAGCAATAATAATAAAAAATCATCATCATGGCCATTAGGAATTTTATATTGTAATGGTAAGTATAAAAAATAGTAAAATATATTATTAGGACTGCCATTCAATTGTATTTCAATTCAAAAAAAAATTAAACCTGAGAAACTGAGAAACTGAAAGTTTTCCCATCTACACACACACACCTACACAATATTGAAGATTTTTGCTGAGATTTATGAAATATGACAATATGCAACAACAACATTAAGCAAATGAATGAATGTTTTTATCAATTTTTTTTGATACATAATTTTCAAAAAGATGAGAAAGATCTGAATTGAAAATCTTCTTGGATTTTGTGTATGTGTTGACCTGATGTTTTCACATTGTATCTTTTCATTCATTCAGTGTGAGAAAAGGTGAATTTTTCCATTTTTTTGTAGGCCAAATGAAGCATGGAATTTTTTTTTTGTGAATACAATTGGCAATACACTTACATAGATTATAATCTAATGACATTTTTTGTTGTTGTTGTTGTTGAAAAAAAACATTGTGTGTATTTAGATTTGAATGAAATGATATGATTTTTTTTTATTTTTGAATGCAAAAATATTTTAATGTAAATTTTAACCCTTCAGGAATGAATAAGTTTGATAAAAATCTGACAGGATTTTTTTTTTTTTGTTGAAATATGATGCTTCCAGAGTAACGTAAAAATCCAAAAAAAATTAATCTTTAATTTCGAATCATGAACTTGATAATTTTTCGACCATGTTATATAATTTTTTTTTTGGCCATTTTGTTAGATTATCAAGTGAATAATATCAGTAGTGAAAATCGATCACGGTCAAAATTATTAAACAATCCATTCTTTTGATTGATTCGATTGATGATTGTGAAAATGATTATGATGGATGAATGAATGAATGATGACATTGTCGATCATTGTGTTCCGATTTTTTTTCTCTTTCTCTCTTTTTTCTTGTTCCACAATCATCATCAATAATCTTTTAGTAGTCCATTTCTTTGATTAGAAATCATTATCATCAGATTATTATATAGACCTGGCCCTTTTTTTTGTTGTTGTTATTATTACGAATGCGGAAATTTGGACTACATTTTGGAGTTGTTCGGCCGATTAATGTTTTATTTTTTGTTTTAGTTTTTTTCATTTTCATTTCATATAAATAATCGGACCTTGTGTGGACAAAACAAAACTGTTTTTCTCCCTTATTCAACTGAATAATTCATTTTTGAAAATGATTTTTGTTGTTGTTGTTGTTGATGATTAAACATTGTCCTTGATGATGATTAGGAAATATATTCCGTTACTTTTGTTGTTCACTTTGATTAGGAAATAATCAACTAAAATGTACTGACTATATTTCAATCCCATTTCATTTTTTTACAGGTATTGTTGATTATTCGAACGATACGAATGATATTGCTGCTGTTAATGGTATAGGTGGAAATGGTGGTGGCGGTGGTGACAATTCATTACATTCAGGAGATTTAAATTCAAGTTCTAATGATGGTGATGATGATGATAATGATGTAGGAGAAAGTTTGAATAATCAATCAAAATTATCATCATCATGGATTGAAATTGTTCGACAACTACCACGACCGCCACCGCCACCGCCTTCATCAAGTGATTCAAAAACAAATTGTATCTGTGATATGAATAATAACAGTAATAGTCAACATCGTCCAATATCATTTATACCTGGCCAACCGGTACACGATCCAGAACGAATCATAATATTTTTAATAACACCAACATATACCCGACCTACACAAGCGGCCGATATGACAAGATTATCTCAAACACTTCAATTAGTGCCGGATATTTTTTGGATTGTAGTCGAAGATGCTCATAATAGTTCTAGGTATGATATATTTTTTGTTGTTGTTACATTTTTAAAAATGTGGGTGTTGAATGAATGAATCATTTTTGTCTTTTTTTTTTGTTGTTGTTATTAAACAGGAGTGTCGAAGATTTGTTACGTCGATCAAATGTTCCATATGTTCATCTACTTGGACCAAGACCGCCTACACATTTAGACAAACGTAGTGGACGTGGTGTATCAAATCGATTACGTGCATTCGAATGGCTTCGTGAAAATTATTCGAATACAACACAAAAAGGTGTCATATATTTTGCCGATGATGATAATGCCTATGATGTTAGATTATTTGATGAAATTCGTTCGACAAACATAGTTTCAATGTTTCCGGTAGGATTGATTTCAACACTTGGCCTTTCAACACCGATTGTTAGTCGAAAATCTGGAAAAATAATTGGTTTCCATGATCCATTCATTGGCCGAAGAAAATTTGCTGTCGATATGGCCGGATTTGCTGTTAATTTACAATTTTTTCTAAACCAAAAAAAAGCCACAATGCCATACAAAGTTGGCTATGAGGAAGATTATTTTCTAAAAAGCCTTGGCGTACAAATTTGGCAATTGGAACCGAAAGCTGAAAATTGTACACAGGTATACATACTTTTAATAATAATAATAATCATAAATAATTACTACTATAGTGACATATAATTTATCACAATTTTTTTTTCAATCCCCAATAAAAAAATAGATACTTGTATGGCATACGAAAACAAAACCTGCCGATCAACCAAAATTGCCATTGATGAAAAAAGTAACAAATTATACCGAAACAAATTTACCCGATCTATATGCTAATCAATTAGGACAATCCTGATATGGTTTATTCACAAAAATATACACACACAGTCGAAATTCGATATACACTTTTTTTTACCATTCCTTGATCATCAACATATAAAAAAATCAACAATTTTTTTTTTGAAACAAAATCACATTTTCAATATTTATTTATTTTTTTTATTTGATCACATTCATGTGTGTGTGTGTGTGTGTTTGTGTATCAAGGATCTTGTTGTTCCTGTATTCCTAAATATATTTTTTACTATAAAGAAATAACATCAATGATGTGCCAACGATAAACATATATGTAAATAATATTTCCGATTCTAGTTTTATTTTTCTATTTTTTTTTTTTAATTATAAAATAAATAAAAATTCGTTTATTTATGGGGCCGGTTAGATCTGTTGTGTATATGTGTATGGTCAGTTTAAAAAATTATAATCAAATAACAATCATATTTTTATTCATGAGTAAATTTGACCGGAAGAAATTCTGTTAGAACATCAAAATAAGAGCGATTGAAAAATCGCAAAACAAAAAGGCACACACCAAAAAAAAACAATCGATCAATATTGTTGAAAATGGAATCCAGAATCATCATCATGATGGTGGTGGTTGTGGATATGGATAACCTGGCTGTGGATGACCTCCTTGTGGTGGATATTGATAATTTGGAGGTGGATAATAAGCTCCAGCTGTAATTTTATTAAACAAAATATGGATTAGATCAAAAAAAAAAATTCAATAAATTTAAATTACCTTGTGGTTGTGGCAAAACAAATGGATTGAATCCTTGTGGCAATGGTGGTGGTGGATAATAATTGTATCCAGGTGCCTGGTATGGATTATATTGCGGATATGGTGCTGCCGGAGGAGCGGATGACGAACTACCGCTACTGCTGCTATCAGGTTTTTGATAATCAGGTGCCTTAGGTATTGGATCATTTGGCTTGGATACGATATCGTTTTGTAAATCTTTGCACAATTCTTCACGTTCAGCTTTACGTGCAAAACAAAAATCATTTACTTTGCCTTGAAGATTGACCAATAATTGGGTAAGATCATTGTAAAATTTATTGCCTTCTTTCAGATTCGATAACAATTGCATATAAGCTTCATAAGCTGCAGCACAATCCTTAAGAAATTGATCTCGTTTTGAACCACTTGAACCACGTTGAGCTACAAATTTTTGATTGGCTTCTTGAATCTCCGTTATTAATCGTTCCTGTTTCTCTTTACTTTGGCGAACTTTTTTCTGAAGTTCATTGTATGCATTACCAATCACTTCAGCAGCAACTGTTGTTTCATCCACACCAGCATTGACATTCAAATAGCTCATAAATTGTTTACGTAATTCTTCAAATTCAATGTTTTTCAAATCATTTTCAAGCGATTCACGTTCACGTTTCAATGAATCTACTTGTAACATTAATTGTCGTAATGCCTGAACGGCTGAATCATCGATCGAAGAACCACCAGATTGATTGGAAGGAATAGCTGAAGCCAAAGCATTGGATGGACTTGAAAGTAAACGGATTTTTTCAATATTCATATCATAATTGCCTTTAAGCTTTTTATCAGCTTCAACAGCTTTTTCAATGATACTTCGGTATTTGGCAATATGTGAACGCCATGTTTGATTCAATTTGTTTGATTGTGTTCGGGTCCATTTATCTTTAAATTGGCTACGTAATTTGCTATCACTTTCCTCTTCAGCATTCAACGATCGTTCAATTTCATCCAATATTTCACGATTTCTTTTCAAAAGATCTGGTAATTCATTAATCAAACGTTCAATTTCTTCAATACCACCTTTCTGTCGAATTGCTGTTGCTTTTTCCTGTATTGATTTTGGCACTTCAACACCTTGTGTATCTTCAATGGCTGCAGGTAAATTCAACGATGCAAGAATGCCGCTTAATGTTTGTGTCATTTCACGCAAATGTGCAATTTCACCATTAACCAATTCTTGTTTACGATTTTCAAAACGTGAAATCGATTGATGCATAGCCAATGGTAACAAATTAGTAAATAGATCAGTTTCATTAGGAAAAAACAGATTAGGTATATCAGTACATTTGGCTAACAAAGCTTTCGAAATTGTTGGTAAAGATTTATAATCCGGTATTCGTGCATGATAAATAAAATCATTATCACGTTTCACTTCTTCCAATGCCAATGTAGCTTTATTGACAATTTCTTTGAATTTTTCAGCCATACCAATTACAACACGAGTTTCGGCCGATTTAAGAAATTCCAATGCTTTTGTCAAACGAGTAATTTGTTCACCAAATTCTTTTTTATCTTTAGCCACCATAGCCTGATAATATTCGGCTACACCTTTATAGGCATTATGTTTTTGAATAAAAATATCCACCCATTCGGGTAAAAATGATTTATCTTTAAAATTTATCGATTGAATTTGTTTTTCAACTTCACCATAAAATTCAACACATTGAGCAGCGATTCTTGCTATAGAACTTTCTTTCATACCATCATTGTATGCTTTAAAAAAGAATGCTTCTTGAGCTTGTGCCAACATCATATGTTGTAACATGTTCAACACTTCTGTTTGTAGGTCGAATGTAAGCTCATTACCATCAGATGATGATGATGTTGTATGTTTCAAAGCCTGAAAAATACCAGCAGCACCTTGAAAATGTTTAATAGCCTGTTTCAATGAATTATCATTGAATGCACCTTCTTTACAATAATAGGCACCCAATGTACTCATCAAAGCACCAATATTAAACATGATGCAAACTTTTTCAAAACTTAAATTTGATACGGTCATTGAGGACGATGAAAAGATACCACCTTTTTCGAATGCATCTTTCCATTTAAATGGAATGTTTGCTTGTGGTAGTTTGTTATGCAATAAAACCAATTGATCATAATATCTATGGGATAATTATTAGTAAAATTAATTAGTCAAAATGTTTTTTGAATCATATTGAATAAATTGATGACTCACTTTTCAATAATTTCCAAACTAGTTTCTTGACTTGATTCAATGTTACGTGATGTAGCATTGTTACGCATACGATTCAAAACTTCAAGATTATCTTTGGATTTTTCATCAACATTACCATATTGAGCAGTGATTGACACCTTTAAATATTTGACCAAATCAACTTCGTAGGTTTTTTTCAATGGTATTGATAAAAGATATTCCATAATTGAATTGAATGATGATTCAGACTCGAATAGTCTGATTTGTTTGGATACAATGACAAAAAAAAACAAGATTCAAGGAACAATATATGACGTTTGACGATACAATCAAGTTTAAACAACAACAGTTAACAATCAAATGATTATTATTTATCAACCAATGACAACAACAACAACTTGCAGCTTTTCGTTTAAAATTACTAAAAAGCAAAAAATGAAAATGAGCAGCAATAATAAAAAACAAATCAACTGATCAGATGCAATAGGCAGGATAACAAAAAAAACAAATGTAAAATAGATGGAGCTACTATAGTATATATTCAATGATTGGGGAGTGTCAATGATGATCATCATCAATGTAACGGGTACGAATTATCAGATTTTTTTTTTCAAACACACAAGATGGCATTAAAATCAATTCCGAATAATTTCAAATTTTATTTGAAAAAAATCAATATTTTGTTTAAAAATTTTAAGCAGATAAGCATTTGAAGATAATATTATAATTTGCAAATCCATTCGCAATCAATCCAATCCAATCATTGAATTTTGATCATCATTAATCTTGATCCCAATGTCCTTGTTGTTGTGGTGGTTTTGGTCCACCGGCCGGTTTAGAACAGATAATCTGATCCACTTGTAATATGGTATTGGTTACTTGTGATGCATATTTTATACCCCAATATTTGGTCAAATACAAATCAAATATCAAATTGTCTATACTATTCTGTACAGCAGCTGAATCCGAACCAATATCAACACCATCAGTATTTCGACCTTCTTGATGTGATGACAATAATAATGATAATATATCTTGTTGATTGATACCACCATTCTGAGCAATAACAACCGGTAGACTTTGTAAAGCTTCAGCAAATTTCCCTACAGCATATTGTTCTAATCCGGGTAATGTTTCAGCATAATCGGAAATTTTACGTGCCAATTCAATTTCACATGCACCAGCACCAGCAACTAATCGACCATCACGTGTAAGTACTTTGAATGTATTAAGGCCATCGTTTAAAGCACGTTCAACATCATCCATTAGATTATCGGTAGAACCACGAACAACAACGGTAGATATTCTTGTTGATTTGGAATCTTGTTCAAAAATAACTACACTAGTACCACCGATTTCATCGATAAAAGCAGCATCAATAGATCCAAGTTCTTCAGATGTTGGAGCAATCAATTTTGTCAATGCTGTAGCACCTACCGTTTGACAAAGTCGACGAAGATCAAATTTCGAATGCAAACGAACAGCCATCATACCGAATTTGTTTATATAATGCAATGCTAAATCACCATATTTGCCACCCGAAACAATAATCTTTGCACCGGAATCGGCAATAGCTTTAATCTGTGCTTCAAGAACATTTTCTTCACCTTTGCTAAAATTTTTCAATTCTTCAGCTGTTTTAATTAAAACAGTTCCTTTGGTTTCGGTTGCCTGTACATCGACAGGACATGTATAGCAAACAACTTTGGCATCTTTTACACTTGTAACATCACCTTCGACTGCTTTTTTAAATATCATTCCATTGATTACTTGTGAACTTTCAATACCTGAACCAAGAATTTTACATACACGAACATTATCAACATTAAAATGACCACTTTGTCGATCATAAACAGAAAGAGCAGCTTTGATAACTAAATCAGCAAGAAAATCTTCATTACCATATTGTTTACTCATCAATGAAGTACGAATTGGTTTTCGTATTTCTGAAACATTGGTAACATCTTTAACTTCATCAACAACAACGGTAGGTAGAAATTCTTCAAGAATTTTCTGCGAAGCCATATTATAACCATCGATTATTTCGGTTGGTTTCAAACCTAAACGAATTAATTCTTCGGAATTTCCCAATAAAGCTCCAGCTAAAAGAATAACAAAATTGGTTCCATCACCAACCTAAAAAAGGGTGATAATAATTTAGATAATTCAAAACAAAACACACAAATAAAAAATTTATAATCATACCTCATGTTCCATGATTTGTGAAGCTTGAACCATAAGTTTGGCAGCTGGATGATTAACATCCAATTCACTCATTATAGTACCAGCATCTGATGTAACAAATAATTTTTCCAAATGATTAATAATCATTTTATTTAAACCACGTGGTCCATATGATGATTTAAATGTTTGAGCAAATTCGGTACATGCTTCAATATTACGTAAACAAGATTCTTCAACACCGGCATAATAACGGCTACCTTCTTTCATCATCGACATAAAGCCGGGTGCTCTTGGAACTGACATTGCCATTTTTTAATGATTGTTTTTTATCAACGTTTTCAACAAAAAAAAAATATCACTGACAGATCAAAGAAATGAATGAATGAATGGTTAAAATGTTGACGAAAAGATTTTGATTTTTCAAATTAAAAACACGCCTGGTCTTTTGTTTGTTGCAAGTGAAACAGCATGGCAAAAAAAAAGAAAAGAAAAAAGATTCGAGAACAATTCATAAATGTCGTGTCGCATGTTTTTATTATTATGAAAAAATCGGCTGTTTGGGATGGGATTATATCGTCAAAACCTGATATTGTTGTGACATCATTAAAAAACATTCGAATCAACAAAAAAACATTCGAATTTCGGTGTAGAATCTTAAGATTGAAACCGGTGATTGAATTTAACCGAAAAAACCAGAATCTTCACCCTAGTCAAAATTTGTTTCAAAATTAGTTTTTGTTATTTGAATTTTTTTTTGATTATTCCAATCATATCAATTGTCAACAACAGCAATAATTATGCCGATACAACCATCATAATAATGATGATAATTATGACCATCATTTTTATGATATTCATCAATCATAGCTGATATTATAGTTGATTTCTTTTTTCTATGTTTCAAAATAAAGAAAAGTAAAACAAAAAACAATTTCTGGTAAGTCAATTTTTTGTTGTTTATTTTTCTTTTCGTTCGTTTGTAAATACTATTTATTAAAAAAAATTGTAAAGTCCAGCCCAAGCTCAATGTCTTCCGCTTGTGTGTGTGTATATCTTGTGAATTGATTAAATTAAAATTAAAAATGTAAATAAAACATCAGCATTTAAAAAAATGTCAACCAATTTTTTCTTTCTATTCAAATGGTCAACAATCAACTTAGAACAAAAAAAAACCAAATGGGAGATGCATAAATCTCTCGAATGTTCTTTATTATTATTCACATTTTGCAGCAACAGGCAATAGTCGCATCATTTTGTTTGTTTGTTTGATGTTTCGGTTTTTTGTTGTTGTTGTTGTTGTTGTTGTTGTCTATATGATGATCTGATTATACTTGGTGCATAGAAGAAAGAAAAAGAACAGGTTCTCTCTGTGTTTCTTCTGTCATCAGTTACTATGTGTCCACGTCTTTAATAACCGAAAAATTTTCGATAAATAAAAAAAACGAAAAAAATCTAGTTTGACCATCATCATCATCATCATCATATGACCTAAGCAAGCGACCGACTTTTCTTCTTTATTTGATTATCTTGCCTTTTGGGCTCATTCAATGAAAAAAAAAGAAAAATTCATTGCATTTCTAAATTATTATATGATGATGCTATTTACGAAATTTTTTTTTCTTTTTAACGAAAAGATCGTCCGATTACCATCATCATCATTATCATTGAACGTTCCCAGAAAAAAAAGACATTCAGAAGAGAAAAAAAATGGTTATTTGTATGTGTGTGTGAACATCTCTCTTTTGCTTAAAATCGGGTTTTTTCTTCGTATTTGTTGCCGGTAAAACCAACTAACTAAAGAGAAATTGAATTTGTTGAGAAACAAAACCAACAAGGTATATCCACCAACAAAAAAAATGGTTGAAAATCTCTCTTTTCCATCTTTTCTCTTTTTATTTGGATTTGGATTTTTTTCTCTCGAAAAAAAATAAAATAGTTGCACCGTGCACTTGTTTTTTTTTCTTCTAATAACGAATAACGAATGTTAACCAACAAGGAAAAATGTTTTTTTTTTTTTAAATTAATCACATTTCACACAATAACGTTCACCAGTTTATGATGGAAAATTTATTTTAAAGATTTTTTTTTTAAATTAATGAAATCATTACCATCAGCCAAATCATCTTGTTTTTGAAGAACGAAAAAATCTATATCCTGTTTTGTAAAAAAAAACTTAAATGTCATCATCAGATTGATTTGGCCATTGTTGTTTGTTTGTTTTTTTTTGTGTACGTGTTTTGTTTTCTGTTTTTTGTTGTTTGTTTGTTTGTTTGTTTGTTTTCAAATAATAATTGTTATCAGATTGATGGTAATAATGTTGGTGTAAGGTTGAAGACCAAAAAAAAAATTATATCATCAAACATCACTACTACACTACACACTTACCTATGAAGGTTTTTTTCTTTACTATAGTCAACTTATTTCAATTAATGAGATCATGATGATGATGATGTGATAATCAAGTCTGACTCTGGTTGTGATTTTCTTTTTTTTTCATTTAGTACATTTCAAACACGAGCGGTGATGATTTTAATGTAGTCGAAACGATCTATTTGATCGATTAATGAAGATTATCTTTGGTTTTTTTTCTTTTGAATTGAAAAAAAAATGAATAAGAAAAAAAAATTCCATAGAAACAAATGAAATGAATTTTTTCAATTCAATTCAAACGAATTTTGATTGTATAAATACTGTGTTCAGTGATTGAAATAATTATAATTTTTTTTCTCTCTTCCCCTCTTTCTCTCTTTTAAAATCCATTTTCAATAGAGTTTTATATCATCCAAATTTTTTTTTGTGTGAGATTTTTTTTTTCTTTCGACATTGAACTTCATTTATTGGAAATTTTTTCCGCTTATAAAATATAAATAATATATCTTAATTATCGAATCGAAATGCCCGTGAATCAAATTCAAAATGGATCATCATCATCATCATCAACAACATCAGCTCGAAATGGCAGTAAATGGCCGGAAAATGTTGGCATCATTGCAATGGATATTTATTTTCCATCATCATATGTTGATCAAACTGATTTAGAAGAATTTAATGGTGTATCAAAAGGTAAATATACGATCGGTTTGGGACAACTTAAAATGGGTTTTACCGATGATCGTGAAGATATTTCATCAATTTGTTTGACTGTAACGGAAAGTTTATTGAAAAAATATAAAATTTCTCCGGCTGATATTGGTTTTCTTATGATCGGTACTGAAACAATTATTGACAAATCAAAAAGTATCAAAACTGTTTTGATGGATCTGTTCAAAGATAGTGGAAATACCGATATTGAAGGTATTCATGCTACAAATGCTTGTTATGGTGGAACGGCTTCATTGTTTCATGCAATTGATTGGATTGAATCAAGTAATTGGGATGGCCGTTATGCATTGGTTGTTGCAGCAGATATTGCTGTCTATGCTAGTGGTGCCGCTAGACCTACTGGTTAGTTTTTTTTTTTTTTTTTTGAATGATATTAATGAATTTTTGATTTTTGATTTTATTTGTTTTTTTAAAAATGCAAATTAACAATAATAGGAGGATGTGGTGCTGTCGCTATGTTGATCGGGCCGAATTCAGCCATAATTTTGGATCGTAAAGTTCGTTCCACTTATATGGCAAATGTTTATGATTTTTATAAGCCAGATCTCTCTTCTGAATATCCATACGTTGATGGCCCATTATCAAATCAATGTTATTTACAAGCATTGGATCAATGTTTTAATTTATATTTCGATAAGGCCAATCGTAATCGAGAAGAATTGTTAAACCATGATCATTCGGAACAATCGATGATTGATTTGAGCCACTTTGATGCGGTTATTTTTCATGCTCCTTATTGTAAATTAGTACAAAAATCTGTTGCACGTATGCATTTGCTTAACAATTTACGTTTGCAAGCAAATGATCCAAGTCGATTCGATTTAAAATTAGAAAAATATAGGTTTGTAATGTTATTTATAATTTGTATCAAATCAAGACTTATATTTTTCCGAATTTTTTTTTTGTAGGAATATTAAACTGGAAGATTCGTATAATGATCGAGAAATGGAAAAACTATTGCTTACATTGAGTTCGGAAAATTTTTCGAAACAAACTGATCCAAGTTTAATGTTGGCTCGTGAAATTGGTAACATGTATACGGCATCACTTTATGCCTGTCTTATTTCCTATCTTATCAGGTATTATCATAATAATCAAATGTGAATTGTTTGAATTCTTATTTTTTATGCTAATCATCATTCAGTGATTCAGTCGAAAATCAAATTGACAAACATCTTTTGCTATTTTCCTATGGTTCTGGTTTGGCTGCATCAATGTTTTCCGCTCGTATAACCAAAGATAAGACAATATTATCACGATTATCGAATGGTTTGGCCGATATTAAATCACGTTTACAACAACGTCGACGTGTACCACCAGCAAAATTCGAAGAAACATTAAATCTTCGTGAAAAAACACATAATATTGCACCATATGCACCAACTGGTGATATATCATTATTGATGGCCGGTACTTATTATATTACCGAAATTAATCAAAAATATCACCGAAAGTATTCAAAAGCTTAAAACAATTTTAGAACAACAACAACAACAAAATTTATGTGATGAAAATGGATTCGATTAGGAATCGATCATAATTAATATTGGAAAAACACACACACACACACATTACTTTTGGCTAATGTTTAGAGAAAACAAAAAATCGATTCAATATATAATGATTACACAATGGATAATTTAAATTTCTCCCCCTAATCAATACATCCCATTCAAAGTTATTATTAGTAAATTAATTTCTATATCATCATTCAAAATGTGTTTCTGTTGTCTTCTTTTTGTGCAAGTGTTGAGCCTGATTGTATTTGATTTTATTTTTTACTTAAAAAAAATCTATTTTATTTTTTACATTAATTATTATTTTTAAAAGAAATATATTTACTGAAATCAATATTAAAAATTAAAAAAAAAAATCAATATTTGTTCAAATCTCATGCGAAAATCGTTTGGAAAAAAAACTGTTTATTTATTTGCTTGTTGAAGAGCTGATCGTTTGCTGATTCTTCGTTTGTTTTTCGTTTGAAAAATACAAGCACACAACACGTACAAGTATTATATTTGTTTTTCACAAGTTTTTTGTTGTTGTTGTTGTTGAAAATCCATACGGTTCGATTACATTTTTTAAAATATATTCACATTCACTGAAAACAACAAATTCTGTGAAATATTATAGCCAAATATTTGTTTCTGTCCAAACAAAATTGATCGATCAACAAAATATAAAATGAATAGCCAATGGCCTTTTTCCATATGCATCTTTTTTATTTGGGTCCTGTTTTGTTTGAATTTAACTTAATGGTCTTGATTTGAATATCGTTTTCCCCAATCGAAAAACGAAAAACAACATTATTTTCAAGTGTCGTTTTTTTCCGATTTTGAATTTAAATTTTTGATTTCTCTTTTTTTCTGTTTTCAAATTTTCGAAAATTAAGTAACTTTGATTTGTCGTTTGTGTTCAGATTCATTGATCATGCAATTGGATAGGCTTGAAAAGCACATTTCTTTTCGTTCATGTCACCCAAACTACTAAATTGACATTGATGACCACTTGATAAAAAATAAATTTCAGTTAATCATTTCTATTAATGTGATTGGAATAATAATAATAACCAACCTAATCATCATCGATGATTTAACGTTGAACGAACGAACGAACAACAACAATTATGATTTATGTGCACCACTTATTCGGCTAATCAGTTAATATGTTTTAATAACTTTTGAACTTTTTCAAACACCCAAAACATTTTGATTGTAATTTTTATTATTATGATGGTTTTTCTGGCTATTGATATCAATTTGGAAAAAAATAGATTTCAAATAATAATCGTTTGTTTATGAAGTATACTTACTTTCTCGTTTCCATTCTTATTCCATTTCCATTCTTTTTTTCTATTTCAATCCAATCGACATACTTGAGTATATATTTGACACTGGTCAAAGGATCCATTCATTCATTCATTCGATGCTCATTATTGAGTTTGATGATTTTCAACCTTTGTTCTTTGTTGTTGTTTTTTTTTTGTTGAATCGAATGTGTGACCAAAAATAAACATTCGTAGAATATTTCTAAAGATTATTTCATTGAAAATTGGAATTTCTCTTTACTTTTGACAAATACAATAAGTTACTTATATGGATCTATGTTTTTGTTGTTGCTGGAAAATCACTTTGAGATGATAAAAGTGTGTGTTTGGCACCCAAATATAAGTCCTATTGAAAAAAATGTTAAGAAATTTTTTTGGTCAAAATTTTTTCATAAAGAAAATAAAGTAAACTTTATTATCGCTTCAATGATTAGCAACAATCATTATTCAATAATAATCACCATTGACCAATTTGAAGTTGAAAAATTCAATTTTTCTGAAAGAAAAAACACCTCTTCAAAAGTATATTTAGCATGAAATAAGTTTTCCAAATATCGATTGTCAACTATCGATTATTTTGATTGATTTTGATTACGTTCATCACTTTCTTCTGTTTATTTTTCTCATTGATATCAATTATCATTTGTTGCATTCGACAAATTTCAAAGACTCATCAAGACTGTCGTCGAGTTGAGTTTCGATTTTAAAAAAAAGATTATTATTTGAGACAAACATTCAATTTTGAATGTTTTTGTCGAAAACACCAATAACTCTATTACATCAACCAAACAAACAAACAAACAAAAAATTGAAAAAAAATGTAATTCAAATCAATTGAAGCAAACCTAAACTAACGATGGTCGATCCAACCATCCGTTAATAATTGACTCTTTTTTTTCTGGTTGTTGTTTGTTTGTTTGTTTGTGAAATATTTTATTCTTCTACCCAAACAACAATAGCAGCAGCAGTTTAACAATGTTTTTTTCTGTTTTGTTTTTCAATCAGATCATATCGATTTGAAAGAAAATTCGGGACCATTCTGAATGAAGGTAATAGACTTATTCGAATGATGATAATCGTTGACACTCAAACACACACATTGATGATTTGATGATTGGATGATGTGATGTGAATAACAAAACAAAACAAGAAAAAATCAAACAATGACATATCAAAAACATGTTTTTTTCGCCTTCCTTCCTCCCTCATCATCCTCATCATCATTTTCACTGATTTTCAAATCGAAATCGAATCAAAATGTTGAATTTTTTTTTTTGTTTTCAATTTTGTTTCTATGATGATGATCATCATCATTTGGTTGAATGAATTTATGGATCATATTGTTTCTCATCCTCATGGATTCTCTTTTGTTCCCCGAAAATTGAATACGAATTTCTGTTTTTTTTCGGGATTTGTTCTCGCGCGCGTTGGTTTCAATTAGATTTGGTTATTATTATTATTTAACACTAACGCACACCAAGAAAAACGATGATAATAACAATTATTGGTATGGGTGTCTATAAATGACAACCGTAAAGATAAATATTTTGATTTGATTTTCTCTCATTCTTTTTTTCTGTGTTTGATCTGTATTTGATATTTTTGGTCCGTTAATAAATTACGTTCCAAAATTACATACATACACAACAGAATTCATGCGAATGTCATTCTGGAAATTCTATTAAATGTTATATTCGGCTATTTCCACTCTCTCGGTTTGTGTGTGTTTCTGTTGTCAAATATTATATTTCTGTCATTTTTGTAAATTCTTTTTTTTTATTGTTATTAAAATTTTGTTTTTTTTTTGTTTGATGAAATTTTTATGTTAATATACCTGTCGTCACCATCATCATCAATAGTCATCGAAGAAGAATAGGAATAAGAAGATCAAAATCCCAACAAAACAATAAATGTCTGGCATGTACACAATAAAAACACAGAAAATAAGATCAAAAAGATTGATTGTACACAAACAATGACAGAGATAATCAATTTTATTGAACCAAATCGAAAATTATTATTATCAATTTTCGATTTTGGTTGGTTTTTGCTATTATTTGCAGTAACCATCATCATCATTATTATCAGTTTCGAAAAAAAATTGTTCAACATTTGCATATCCTGAACAACAACAACAACAACATTCGAAAACATTCGAATCAATAATCATCATCATATTTGTGCGAGAAAAACCGAGAAGAAAAAACTACAAAATAATGACAAATCATTATTGTTCAGAAGAAGAAAAAATTGTTTGTTTTTTTTTGATAATTTTGTTAAAATTCTGACATTTTTCGTTTTTGTCTTTGTGAATTCATCACGGATTCAATTTTGTTTGTTTGTTTATTGCATCCATATTTTTGGCTTCCTTAATTTTCATCGAAACTAAATTGATCGATTGATTGATTGATTGATTGATAGCGACGCCATCGTGTTTTGTTTCGTTTCCAACCTAACCCAGCACATTATTCAATTAGTTGAATAAATCTTTCGAAAATCGTTGTCTGCAGATTCATTTTGTTTGATCGGGAACAAAAAAAATGGAAAAAACCACATTGGGTTTGCACGAAAATTGATTTTGATCAACCAATTTTCATTTCATATTTTTCATTCATTCATTGATTTAATATCTTTATTTGAATAATCAAAAAGAAAGAAAGTTTCGATTCAAATTCAAATTGAATTGATTTTCGTTTTGTTTGATCATCATTATCATCGACGATGGTTTCTTTTCAAAAAAAAGAATGGCTAATTTTTTCTTTTCACTGGACACACAAGGACAAGATAAAGTCATTGTCATTAGATTATTTCAATTCGATTGAATCTTTTCTTGTTTCTTCTTCTTTTCTTGTGTAGAAATAGCCGACATTCATTCATTCATTCATTCATTCATTCGTTTTGTTTTCTTGACAATAAGGTGTATAATCTCATTCATGTGACTATTTTTACCCCATTTGTTCTTTGAAAAAAAAAAGAAAAAATTTCTGTTGAACAAAAAAAAACCAGAAAAAAAAATTTGAATCAAATAAGCTTATTCGGTTCAATAAGTATTTTGTCCTTCTCTTTGTCTAAATCTCTCTATTATTATCCAATTGTTGACTGATTTGATTTCGATATCAATGAAAATCGAGAAAATTGGCCAAACAAATACGAACTCAAACAAACCAAACATCTTTATTATTGTCATTTTTAGCCAAACAAAATGGGTAAATACAAATTTATTCGGGACTGGAGTAAAATCCATTGAACCTTATTTTGAATCAAATTTTTTTTCTATTATTGTATTTTCATCCAGGTAAATTTTTAAATAACCATATAATGTTTGTTTGTTTGTTTGTTCGGTTGGTTGTTTGTTCGGTGTATTTATTTCAAATAATAATTTTCTGACCTATTAGCGGTCATCAAGTAGAAGGAGAAGGAGAAAACGCTACCCTATAAAATTGGATGATGATGATTTGGTTTTTTTTTGTTTTGTTTAATCTACTACTTTTATGAATGGTCCAGGTGTCAATTACAAATCAATATTCATATTTGTTTTTTTGGTTGTTTACTAATTGACGTTTATTTATCTAATATGTTGTTGTTGTTCCATTCTGGATTTTCAAGTGTATTTTGTACCAAAGTGTTTAAATATTTACACATTTTTTTTTGATCAGTTGAAGAGGTTAAAATAGGTGATATGATGGATCAAAATGGGATATTTTATTTTATTTGGATCAACAAAGGGTTAAACAAACAAATGATGAAAGAAATTAATATCCCATTCGGTTATTTTCATTGTTGGTGGTCTTTTGATATGTTATTATTATTGGTTGCGAATGTCGTTGATGTTGTTCCCATTCCCATCATATTACCATTATACCATCCATTATTACTAGCAATTAACCCGTTGGTCGTTGCATAAATATTATTTAATGCATTTTGTAATTGATGATTTATTGATGATGTTCTTTGGTGTTGTTGATGAGGAATTTTTCCCGCCAATTCATCCAATTGTATTTGATCGAAAAATGATTTATTAATTTGATTTGAATTTCTTTGTTGAATATTTTCATCAGTCATCATTGTTGTTGTTGCTGTAGATGTTGTTGATGCAAAAATATTCGGTAATAAACCATGAAGTGATGTGGCTAAATTCGGTGTCGATGCCGATGCTGTTGTTGTTGGTGGTGGTGGAAAAAATCCCGAAGGTACAACATTACCAAACAAACTACGATAACCAATCAATGAATCAAATAAATGTCTTGTCATATTTGATGATATAATTGGTAATTGTGTTGATATTGATGTTGTGGATGATCCTTGTGCTGTTGCTGCTGCTGGTGATGACGATGATGATGATGATTGTTGTGGATGAAATATCGATAAATCCGAATTAATAATACCAAACGATGATGATGATGGTAATGTATTTGCTCCGCTTGAATATAATTCGGGGTTAAAATTTGAAATCAATGGATGTTGTAATTGTTGTTGATTAATTGTTGTTGTTGTTGTTGTTGGTGATAAAGATTGTTGTTGTTGTTGTTTTATTGATGATATCTGTGTACCATTATCGAATAAAAATTGTTCTTCATGCTGGCCACCAAGAATGGCGTCAATCTGAATATTTGATGTTTCTGGTGGTAAGATTTTCTGCTGCTGCTGCTGCTGTGGATGATAATGCTGGTGAGGATGATGATGACCACCATGATGTATCATTGCTGCTTTTTCATAATTAGCTTTATGTCTTACAAATGAATTTTTTGGTTTTTTCATTTTATTAAAACCAAATTTTTTACGTATTTCACTAAAATCTGTTTCAATCAATGGTAATGATGTTGATGGTGGTGGTGCTATTTTAACAGCAGCAGTAGTCGTAGTAGTCATCATCATTCTTTTAATCATATTTTCAGTATCAAATGATGAATCCATTTGATTCAATGGCAATGAAGATGATTCTTTAGTCAATATATCAATAGTTTTCAATATATCACCATTACAATAACCGAAAGTTTTTTCTAAATAATCATTATTAATTTTTGGAAATATTTTCTCCAATATTTTTACAACATTTGATGATTCTTGTTGTTTTGCTGTTGTTGTTGTTGTTGTTGATTCACCTGCACGTGTCTGTTTTTTTCCTCCTTTACCAATCAACTCATTAGTCGTTGATGAAGAAGAATTTGCCGCAGCCGATCTTTGTTTCGTTGATCGTCGTCGTTGGCGATTTATTCCATTCAATGTTGCTGGTGATCTTTGTTGATTTATAGCCATTTCTGTTGATTCTTCCTTTGTTTCAGAAATAGAAGCTATACCAAAAAGAGAAAAAAAGAAAAAAGAAAAAAAAAGGTTTCAAAATAGGCAAACATTCCAATGTGACACGTTTGAAAATTTTTTTATTGACATAACATGGTGGTAGTACTTAGTCAATTCTATTCAATTTAATTAAATTTGATTAATCTTTTTTTTTCTTTCCCTCATTGTTATTTATATATGACGATTATGATGGGGAGGAATATTTTTAACACTCACTCACTCACTCACTATGTCTATTGTCATCAATAATCACATAATAATAATAATAATAATAATGATGATGCAAAATGGAAAAATATTCCGACTTTATCAACTTTGAATTCGATTTGGTCTATTTCGTTCTTTTGTGGATCAAATTTTTTGTCTGTCTATTCATTTTTTCTGATGTTATTAATAATAATAATCATAAAGCGAGGAAGCAAAAGGAAAAAAAAAATATCAATAACAAAAAAATTTACTATATTAACAAAGAGAGGAGATATGGATGAAAATAGTTATTGATGTCAAACAATAAAAAATTCCATTCCATTCTTTTCATCATCCATAATATTAGATTCATGTGTGTGTTTTATAAATTGACTCTAAAAGAATTTGACTTTTCATTTTCTCTCCCCATATTTTCCTATCTAACTTTTTTTTTCTCCAAAATTCTCAGGGATTTAATATTTTGAAATTATTCTCTTTGTGCTGATGTTGTTATTGTTGTTTGAAAAGTTGTGACAATGACAGTTTTATGAGTTTTTTTTTTGCTACTGGTTTTTCTCCCCCCCGACATCGATTATTGATGATGTTTATCTTCCAATTTTATCTATAGAAATACAAATTGAATTTGGACTTTTTTTTGGATTCTCTTATTTTGTTTGTTTGTAAACTTAATTTTTTTTTCTCACAAAATTTTCTCGATGATAATTGAAACTTTTTCATTTTTCGATGGAAAAAACATTCGAATGAAAAACATTCAAAAAAAAACATTCGAAAAAAAAAACATTCGAAACCATTTTTGCTCGCTCGCTCGCTCACCTAAGTATCATTTTTGGCTTAAATGTAAATATTTTTGTTTTTTTCCCGGTTTGTTTGTTTGTTTGATTTTTTTTATTTTGATAAACAACAACAATCATCAATATACGGGGTCCATTTAAATTTTTTTTTCTTTCTGTTATTTACATTTTAGTGGTAGACAATACGACACCTTTTTCAAATGAAAAAAAAGTTTTCATTTTCATCATCACTTAATGTGTGAGTATTGTTTCGAGAGAAAATTGAATAAAGCTTTCAACATTTATTTTGTTTTTTTCTTTCCCTGAATAGAAAATCTAAATGGATTTGTCTCACTTTTTTTAAGCCAATTTGTCTGTAACAAAACAAATCAGAAAACATACGCGAATCACACATTGTATTGATGAAATGAATGTATTTCTTCCCCCCCTGGTCGTCGTCATCGTTTGCATCAAAAACCATATTCACAATGGAACACAAGATATAATTGTGTTAATGGAAATGATTGGTTGGATATCAATTTTGTTTTTTTTTCTGGGGTTTTGAATTGAATTGGTTTTGACATTTTTTTTCTTTCTTCCTCCAAAACAACAAACTACTAATCGTGTGTATTTGATTATTATTATTGATCAGTCGTTATTTATTATCTCTCACTCCCTTTCGGGAAAAAAAACAACCACCATCCTCCCCCTCCTACATTCAATGGAAAGGAAAATTTGACTATTTTCACCCATATTGATGATTCGAATTGTGTGTATGTTTCAATCAGACAATTCTTTTTTTTGTTCGAATTTCCTATTTTCACAATGATGGTCATCCTTAACACACAACAAAAAATACTCGAAACATGTTTATAACAACGAAGAAGACGATGAAATCATCATCACTGCATTTGACATTCAAGATGAAACTTTTGGTTTTTTTTATTTTTCGATCTGAATTGTAACACTAACCATCATCATCATCATCAGGTATGTTTTTTGCTCAATGTGACCAACTAAAGGAAACAATAACTGAAATTTCAACCATTGTATTGATCATTTGCCAGTCCTTATGAGTTTGTGAGTGGACACAAACAAAAAACCAACAACAAAACCAGAAAAAAGTGACAAAGTGTGATTTTCAATTGAAAACAACAATAAAAGGAAGTGTCAAAGAATTTCATTCACGCTATTTACACTCAAGCCTCTCACTGTGTGTGGAAATGTCACTCCCATAATCATCATCAACAGCAAGTAAAAGTGAGAAAAATCAAATTGAAAGATTTTCTTTGATCAATTGGATTTGTCCTTATTTTATTTGATGAAAGAAAAAAAAGCCAAAGAAATCATCATCATTTATAAGTGGCTGTCATCGATTTTTTTTGTTGGGTTTTCTATTTCGATGATATATAAAGACATCAAACCAGCGGACAAAAAAGTTTTTTCTTACAATAATTTACCTTTTCGACCATGGTTAATAGGAAAAAATGTTTTTTCCGTTTGGTTGCTGTTCTAATTAGATCAAATTTGTCAAACGAACAGCCAAAAAAAAAAACTTTTAAAGAGAGATTCAAAGATTGTCATTTTTCATTCACATTCATTGTTTCTTATGATTGAAAAAATTTTTCAAAATTCATATTTTTTTGATTGTTTGTCGTCAAGAGATTGACAGAAAGATTTTCATCATTCTACATGAAGTACCCACCATCATCATCATCAACAACCAAATATTGACGACTTAATATCCGACTTAAAATAGGTCGGTATTTTTTGACAATGTATTTATTAACTAAAGCAACAAACAAACAAACAACAACAACAACAGCGAAAAAAAAACACATTTCTGTTATTGACATGTTTTAGTTTTTTTTTCTTTCTTTCTTTCTTTTCAATCAATGGATAAAAATGAGACAATCCAAAAGAAACAATAAACAGCGTACGTCCATAACAAAAAAGATTCGAACAAACAAATGAAAAAGCAACTGTTTCCACACAGATGGATCAAAAATAGAGAGAGAGAGGGTCGCTCGTTTGGTTAAAATATATTTATGTATTGTTTATCTCCTGATTGAAAAAGAAAAATCTTTAACAATTGAAAATAATTTCTCTCTCTCTCTCTCTCTCTCTCTCTCTCTCTCTCTCTCCCTGAACTATCAACACGTATTTAAATGAAGAGGGTAGATTTTTATCAAGAGAAAAATCAAAATGAATTAAATTAAATTAAATTTATAAACACTATATATGTGAATTGTTCGATACAATCGATACATCAATCAATCGATCGATCGAACAATCGAAAGGAAAAAAGATAAAATCAAATCAAACCGTTTATTGATTGAATAACATACCTGATAATGGTGATGGTAATGTTGATGATGATGTTGCTGCTGCTGGTGATGATAACGATGATAACGATGATGATGATAAAGATGATGATTGTGTCATATTTGCTGTTGTTGTAACATATTGTTGTTGTTGTTGTTGTTGTTGATAATGTTCAGCGGATAACATTTGATCATCATCATCATGATCAGCCATCATAATTGATGTTGTTGGATCAATTTTTTCTTGTTTTTTATCATCATCATCATCTTCATCGTCGTCATTTTCATTTGTAATGGATAAAAATGATGATGTTCCACCATGATGATGATCATCATCATTATCTCCATTTGTAATCATTAGATTTGTTGATGTAACACCATCAACAATATCTTTTGATGCAGCTGCTGTAGTTGTTGTTGATGTTTGATGTTGTATCAATTGTGCCATTGCTGCTGATAATGTTAATCCAGCTTTATGCATAGCAACTAAACCATCTTGACATCCATATAGGATACCCATTTCACGGGCTTCATTTTCTTCTTGTGCCTAGTTTTTTTTGTTTTGTTTTGTTTCATCATTAAATTTCAAATTTTATGAAAAGAATAATTACCTGTTGACGACGAAGTGCTACCTGTGCAGCCATAACACGTTGTCTTTCAGCAATCAATGTACATTTTGCACATAAACAATCTTTCCAACGACAAAATCTTTTATGTCCTTTCAATGCAGAAACAACACCATGATTACGACAACGTGCACATTTTGGTGTTCGTTGATATCGATCATTATTTGTTACCATTGATAATGTTGTTGTTTTTTTCGATGTTTTCAATGATGATTTTCGATGTTTGATTCGTGATGCTGATTCGGTTGGTAATGTTGATTCATCACTTGATGAATCAACAATATTTTGATCATCATCCATTTGATCCATTGATAATCCATGGTGATGATTATGGTGATGATCATTGGCCATGGCCAACATATGGCTGTCCATTTTTACTTGGGAAAAAGAAATTCTTGCAAAATAAAAAACTTACTGACACAAACTTATTACATTCGATCACTGATCAGGTCGATGAATGTGAATCAATTTTGAAAGCGAAAAAGCAAATCAAAAAAACAAATCGATAGTTTTTTCATTTGGTTATTTTATTTTTGAATTTCAAAAAATTGAATAATTTCAACGAACATGCGTAACATTGTGATAAAATAACGGATTCTAGTAACAAACAAACAAATTGATAAAAGTGATTTTTGTTACAAGAGTTATTTGATGCCAAAATATAAAAAAAATGGGCGTGTTTAGAATGTTTTTTTTTGTTTTCTGGTGAAATAAAAATGTGTAACTGTTTTTTCATTCGACAAATCAAAATCAAAATCGGTAACGCTATTGGTTGATTTAAAAAAAATGACAATAGACAAAAAAAAAATGACGAGAAAAGAGAGCAAAAAAAGAAGGAGGAGGGTAACAGTAACAGTACATAATTTTTTTGTTAATTTTTTTTGGTGGGTTGTAACAAAAACAGAAAAAAAGGCGGAGACAATTTGTGTAACTGTGTGTGTGTGTGTGTATCACATTTATGTTACTGTTTTTTTTTTGTACGGAATTTGTGCGCAGAAAAAAAAATCATTTTTTTTTCTTCTTCAAAAAATTCAGTTAGGTTAGGTTAGGTTAGGTTGATGACTATATGACTATATGATTCATAGTTCAGTTAGGTTAGGTTAGGTTGATGACTGCATGACTATATGATAAATGATGTATTGATTTTTCTTGTTTGTTTTTGTTTGTGATCAGCCTATAATTTAAATGGGAACCATCATCATCATTGGGCGTCATGATTCGTCACTGAATTGTTTTTATTTGGGCGGTACAATTCATTTTTTGTTTTTGTTTCTCTCCTAAAGTATCGTCTCTATTCAATGATTTTACTGTCTAACTTTGGGAAATATTTGGCTTCCATATTTCAATCTTCAAATGGTGAAAATAACAATAGACCAAACAGAATATTCGATAATAATAGACACACAGAGAGAGAATGAATAATGGATCTTTGTAAACTTTAACTAAACATTCGAAATCTTGAAACTTCCTTCTTTATACAAACATTCTTTACATTCCAAAAGGATGAATGTTCCATGTTAATTTTAAAAAAATTAACAAAAAGATACGCCATCTGTTGGACCAGATTGAAAAAAAAAATATTTTTTTTTTTTTGGAAAGCAGAAAAATTTCAAAAATTATCAATGCCATTGATATTGATTGCCATTGATTGAAAAAATCATTAAAGAACATTTTTTTTGTTGTTAAAAGCTCATCATCATTTGGAATCTTATCATATATGTGATGAGTACTTTTGTTGCAAATAGAAAAAATTACCTGCATACCAACCAAACACGGAGATACACACATGTGGTATACAATACACCAAGGTAACCAGTTTGTTTTCCTTTCCTTTTCATTTCATTTCGATTGCCAGCAATAAAAAAAAAGATAAATTTTTCTTTCGAATCTTTTTTGCTGTATACAGACATCCATCCACTATCCATGATACATGTTAAAACGTTGGTGGTTTTTTCCCTCTCTCTCTCTCTCTCTCCCTCTCACACACAGCATAATTTTGCTGTTTGTTGCTATCATCATCATCATTGATTCAACAGAAAAGAAAAAAACAAAACAAAATTATCATTTAATGCTTGCATGTCCTGCATACACACACACACGCACAGACATTTGTTGATTTCCAATTTGTTGATTTTCATCACTAAAAATCATTTCGCCATTCCATTGAAAATTGGTTTTTTATTTATTTTGATTTTGATTTTGGACAATATTTTTCCATCTGAAAATCCTCATCATCAAAATTCCTCACAATCATCATCATCATCATCATCCAGGTGAGTGTTTTTCTGCTTTTTGCTGGAATCCCTATGGAATCCATCAATCAAAACTATCAAAACATCCATCCATCCATCATCTATGGTTGCTGTCAACACATTTGACTGACAATCCTTTGATATCAGATATGATTTATTATGTCTATATTGCGGTTATGGTTATTTTTGTTTATTTTTTTGTATGATTTTTGGTTGAATGTTTGTTTGTTTGTTTGATTTGTTATGTCAAAAATGAAAAATGAAAACAAATTCAACCATATTCGTTGGAAGTTTATTTTTTTCTGCTGTTTCTACTGTTGTTTCTGTTGTAAATGTCAAGATCAATGTCGATGATGATGATGATAAGGTAATGTTAAGGTGTGAACATTATGCAAAGAATTATGAAATATTTTTGTTGATCGATCTGTTTGAATCGATATGATAAAAAAACGAATTATGTTCGTTGCTTTTCGGAAATCGATTTTTTAGAAAACTTGATTGGCTTTTTCCCCACCAACACACACCTAGTTACTAACCGAAAAATTTTAAAATTTTAAAATAAAAAAAACAAAAAAAAGTGAACGGATATCATTTCGGAAAATTCTCTCTCTCTCTCTCTCTCTCTCTCTCTCTTCATCATAAATATAAACCGATTCCGGATTTATTGAGAAAAATCACTGATGTCGATTGAGAGAGAGAGAGAGAGAGAGAGAATACGCAATTTGTATATCTGTAAATTGTCGTCATTATTACTTTAACATAGAACAACAACAAAAACAACAACAACATACAATTTCAATCTGAATCTATCCTATGTATGTGTAATAATATCTTGGTTTGTTTGTTTGTTTGTTTGTGTGTGTGTTTATTTCATAGTAAATTTTTTTTTATTTTCATTTTCAGAATTCAAACCGAATCCAATCACATTTTTTCTCTATGTGTAAAAGGCAATATTCTTTTTCTTCTTCTTCTCCATTCGTTTTTTGATTTATTTTGTTAATAAAAACATTTGGCCATCATCATCATCAATGGATGGATGATCATTAAAATGAAAAAAATCAACACACAAAACAGACACCATAGTGATGATTGATTGATTGATTGATTGAGAATCAAGAATAAAAATAAACTGTTATTCAATTCAAACAAACAAACCAGCAGAAAAATAATAATAATATTTTTTTTTTCTTCTCCAGTGACAAAAACCTTGAATGAATATCTTTAAATCATCAACAGCATTTTTTTCAGAAAAAAACGATACAATCAAAAAACAACTTGTTTTTAACGACAACCGTATGTATGCCATAATAACAATTGAAAAATCAATGATCATCGGCGACGATTGTTGATCATTATAATTTGCTGATAATGATGATCATCATTATAGTCGATTAACTAACTAACTAACTTGTCGACAATAATAATAATTATCATCAACAGCAAACAAAACAAACAAGCAAACAACGATTTGGTAAAACCTCCGATTTTTGTATATATCAATATCTCCTCCGTAAAACACACAGAGATATATTCAAATTGCCAATTCTGTTTGCCTGTTTTAAAATGCCTGTTGAATGCCTGTTTGCAGTCGATTTGATTCGAATCTGATTCTAATTTACATTTTTAATGTCTGTTTTTCATCGTTGTTTTTTTCACCCAAAAACAAAGCTTTCTTTCAACAAGTTTTTTTTGTTTTTGCTGTTTTTACCCCAAATAAATATTGATTTCCTTTTGTCAAAACAACAACAACAACAACATTCATTTTTCCTTTCTGTGTGCGTTTTTGATTTCCTTTTTGATTTTTGATTTGCAATTTTTGATTTTTCCAAATTCAGCTGCAACAAATTCATCCAAAAATGATGTCCCGTAATCGTTCACCATCATCATCGATAAATACGTTAAATTCGGAGACAACAACAACAACATCTGAATCCGATGATGGTAACAACAGTAGTTTACGTTCAAATTCATTTCGTCGTCCATTTCGTCGTAATGGTGCATTTAAAAAGAAAAAATATTCAATCATTTTGGATCATAGTTTTCATCCAAGATTTTTTAAACAACCAACATTCTGTAGCCATTGTCGTGAATTTATATGGGGTGTTTTAAATAAACAAGGTTATCAATGTGAGGTAATGTTTGTTTTATGGTTTTTTACATTTTTTCAAATGTTTTTCCTCTTTCAATCAATCATCGATCCAGGTTTGTTCACTTGTTGTACATAAACGTTGTCATGAATTGGTTACATTTAAATGTCCGGGTGCTGATAAAGGTATTGAAACTGATCCACGTAAAGTACATAAATTTCAATTGCATACATATTCAACACCAACATTTTGTGATCATTGTGGTTCAATGCTTTATGGTGTTTATAAACAAGGTTTTCAATGTAAATCATGTTTGATGAATTTTCATAAACGTTGTCGTCCAAATGTACCGAATTTATGTGGTTGTGATGCAGTGGAAAAACGTGGTCGTATTGAACTGAGAATTCAGGTTAAAAATCTTAATAATAATCATCATCATAGTGATGATGATAACCACAACAACAACAACGATAATGATAATAATCACATTGAAAACATTAATGATAAAATGATTATCTGTTGTGATATACGAAAGGCAAAAAACCTATGTATAATGGATCCAAATGGCCTTTCAGATCCATATGTTAAAGTAAAACTTTTATCAAGTAATTATCAATCATTGAATAATAATCGTGAATCAATAACCAAATATAAAACAAAAATCATACGTAATACATTGAATCCTGAATGGAATGAACGTATTTGTATTGAAATCGGTCCACAAGATCGTGATAAACGTTTATTAATAAGTGTTTGGGATTGGGATCGTACATCACGTAATGATTTTATTGGTTCATTATCATTTGGTGTTTCCGAATTGATTAAACAATCGGTTGAAGGTTGGTATAAATTATTGAATGAAGAAGAAGGTGCATATTATAATGAACCATTACCACCACCCGGTGAAAATCTTATTGATTATTTACAAAAAAAATTACATATTAATAATATTGAACAACAACAAGAACAACAACAACAATTTCGTAGTACTGTTTCGGAAAAAAATTCACATGATAATCATGATTCCAAAGATCATCATTTATTTCATTCACTTACTAAACATCATCATTCTAAAGATTTTAAACTAAATGATGGTTTGGATTCATTTAATTTATTAAAAATCCTTGGTAAAGGTAGTTTCGGTAAAGTATTATTAGCTGAATTGAAAAAAAATCCAAAACAATTATATGCAATTAAAGTATTGAAAAAAGATGTACTTATTATGGCTGATGATATTGAAAGTGCAATGATTGAAAAACGTGTATTAGCTCTTACCAACAAGCCACCATTTCTTCTTGGATTACATTCATGTTTCCAGGATAAAGAACGTTTATATTTTGTTATGGAATATGTAACCGGTGGTGATCTAATGTTTCAGATACAAAAATTTCGTAAATTTAAAGAACCGATTGCTTGTTTTTATGCTACCGAAATTGCAATCGGTTTATTTTTCCTTCACGAACGTGGTATTGTTTATCGTGATCTGAAATTGGATAATATTCTATTGGATTCAGAAGGTCATATAAAAATCGGTGATTTTGGTATGTGTAAAGAAGGTATTTTTGGTTCAAAAACTGCACATACATTTTGTGGTACACCGGATTATATTGCACCGGAAATTATTAAGGGGATTCCATATTCAAAATCGGTTGATTGGTATGTTGTTTTTGTTAAAGAATTTGATTTCTGTGAATAACCATTTTTCTTTCATTTTGATCTTTACATTCAGGTGGTCATATGGTGTACTTTTATATGAAATGTTAACCGGTCAGGCACCATTCGATGGTGAAGATGAAGATGAATTATTTCAAAATATTATCGATCATAATGTTTTATATCCAAAATCAATATCAAAAGAAGCAAAAGATTTATGTAAAGCATTTTTAGTAAAAGATTCACAACAACGTCTTGGTTCTGGTATAAATGATGAATTAAAAATAAAAAATCATCCATTTTTTCGTCGTATTGATTGGATAAAAATACTAAATAAAGAAATACAACCACCATATAAACCACAAATTACTGATGATAGATTAGTTGAAAATTTTGATATAAATTTTACTAAATCACAATTAACAATGACACCAAGTGATAAATCTGTTATTGCCAATCTAAATGGTAATGAATTTGATGGATTTTCCTATGTTAATCCACTTTATATATGAATTTTATCAATCAACAAAAAATACCTATATTTTTTCGTTTGTTTTTGTTTTTTGTTATGGCATAATTTCGTTTAAACTTGTTGTTTGTTTGTTTGTAAAAATAAAAAGTTTTTATTTAAAAATTTGTAAAAATTTGAAAATTATTCATCCGAAATTGACGAAGAAGAAGAAGTTGAAGATGGTGATGATAATGATGATGAAATTGGTAATTCATTTTCAATTTCAAAATAAACAAATAATGGCCACCACCAATAATATTTAATAAAATTTGAATCCGAATCATCGATATTAAAATTGATTAAATAATTGATAAGATTTTTGGATCGTCCATCACTTCGATGTTGTCGATGTTGTCGTTGTTGTTGATGATGATGATAACGTTGTTTTAATTGGCGAAAAAATCTTCGTTCCATACACAGGGAATGATATGTCCAAAATAGTTGGGTACAAACATAAACACTAATGATTATATCGATTGTATAATGTTGATGTGATATAATTAATGATATAATTGCACTTGTACTTAATATCCAATGTATTATTTTCAATATAATCATTGCACATTTAATTATATCAGTATTTAATGCTAATGAATAATAATAAGTATCGATAAACAGGTGTACCATAATAATAATAATAGTATGACCGGAAAATATTTGATCACCACAAAGATTGAATTTTTGTTGTGTTACGAAACCGAATGTCTTTGAAAAGGCAATCATACGATTGATTGAACGAATAGAATATTCACTAACAGTAATATTCGCGGGGAATTTTGGTGAACAACTATTGAAAATACTTGGCGGTAATGATGTACTTGGAAAATACATTGATCTTATCATATATGCTAAACCAGTTACGAATGTAAAACGACGAAATATTCTTTCACGTTCCCAATGAAATAATAGTACAAATAAAAATGATAAATTTTGTAATGTAATATATAATTCAGTAAATACAATTAAATTATTATTACGTATTAATATTTCAAAACCAATATCAGGTAATGGTTTTAATTGTGATGGTATTCTTTCATGTGTTAAAACAAGCATTAAACTATTAATCATCATACCAGATGCCATAAATAATAATAATATAAAATTTATTGAATGTCTTTGCCATAAAATGTTGATAATTTTTTTGATTGTTGACATTCTTTGAATTTCTTTGATTGTAAATATTGTTACGAACGAATTGTCGAAACAGTGGGAAACATGAATTTACAATTTCAAGTTTATAAATGTTTTTTTTTGTTTTGTTTATTAATCTAAAAAAAAAAAATTCTAAATTGAATTTGATTCAAAAAAAATCAATAATGGCCACCACCAAAATCGATTAAACATATTACCACCATTGTTTGAATATTGAAATGATTGATTCAAACAGATTGTATGATAAATATAAAATGTTCTTGTACAAATATAATATGCAATTAAAATGTTAACCAAATAATTCATACGGGCAATTATTATCATTAAAATTGCCATCCAACAACAATAAAACATTAGTCTTTCGAATAATAACCGAATCGGTAGACTATTTGATCGAAAATATGTTGTTAAAAATTGATAAGCAAGAATTATATGAATAGCACGTAGGATATCAACATTTCCACCACAAAAATTTGCCTGTCCATTTATCATAATGGTTGAAAATGAACCGAAACGAAAAATTTCCTGCCCAGATCGTTTTAATAGTTCACGAATGAATTGAAAATTTGTAACATTCGATGAAATACGTTGATGACAATCATTTCGTATATCCGAAATTGGTAATTGTGTTGCAGCCGAACAAACCGAATGTGTAAATATTGTAATACCGGTTATTAAACAAAAACGTCTAAAAATTTGCCAACCAATTTGATGTGTACCGAATAATATTAATAATGTTATTCCGAGAAATGATAAATAAATTTCAATCAAATAAACAGCATAATGACTATATGGTAAAAATTCAAAACCAATATCCGGTAATGAATATTCTTGTAATGGTATTCGTTCATTTATAATGACAATTAATAAACAATTTAAATATAGATTACTTAAATAAAATATTAATGCAAATAATGTTTTACAAATTTGCCAACGATTCATATTTGATTCATTTGTTTGATTTGGGCAAATAATTTTGTAATTTAAAAAAAAAAATTAACCAAATTAATTCAATAATCCCGAATGTAATTGAATAACTCGGTTACATCTTTAATGAATAGACCTTTTTAAAAATTGGTCACATGACTGAATTCTTAAATTCGATTTTTCTGAGTGTATAATTCGAATGGCTTCAGTAAACGAAAATTTTGATGATGAAATTGCCGTTAAATCTCCATCGAATGCATCAACGAATGAATTACCATCATTAAAAGATTTTTCAGAAAATGTTGAAAATATTATTCGAAAAATAAATCGTCGATTTAGTAAAAATCAATCCAATTGTCATACAATACTTTATTATGGAAATGATGCTGATCGTCTTCGTTTGATTGAATTCTTGTTTGGTCAACATATTGTATCCAAATGTCAATGGGATGTTCATCTGATACGTACCAATCATTTACCGAATCTTTTCGATCATCAACAAGCTCGTGAATTAATTCAAACAACTAAACAAATGGATGATTTATGTTTTTTGAAAATATACTATTTAACGAGTCGTGAATCTCTATTCAATCATATGATGAGTGTTAGTGCTAGTAATCAGAATCGATTACTACCAAAAGCTTTCATCATTGATGATATTATGGCATATGTAGCTGATTCATCAAAGGATCAACAATCATCGAATGATGAACCGCAACAATCAGTTGATATTGAAACCGATCTAGGTCCTAAAAGAAAACGACCACGAACAAATTGTTGGAATCGATTGGATGAACAATTTCAAAATCTAATTCGTATTGTAAATGGTTCGATAGAAACACTGGAATATTGTGCATCTCGATTACAACGAACAACGTATTTAATAGTCAAAATTGATTTGAAAACATTTTATGCAAACGATTCTTCACTTCAACAAAATCAATTGTTTAAATTGAATAGAGCTCATTTCAAATATAAAATTAATGTCGACCAAACTCCTTTTGAAATCAATTCAATCTGATTAATTAATTTCAGTTTTTAAAATAAAAATTTATTTTTAAAAATTTAAATTTTATTTAATTTTTGCCGGCAAAAATTTTCAATGGGAAAACTTTCCGGAATGTTCTAAAAATCGAATGAAGAAAATATTTCCGAAATGAGTGGAGTTCACCTTTGCTGGTGTGTTTGTTCATTTTTTGCTTTCATTTGTGGTCATCGAAAAAAAGAATCAAAAAGTTTTTTCGAATTTTTAATCTAAACTTTGAATTGAAAAATTAAAAAAAAAATGTTGATCAAAACTATTAGCAGCAATCTTCGATCGATGATTTCATCACGATGTGGACGTGAGTATCAATGATAATTTGACCGAACCAAAAAAATTTGAAATGAAATGATTTTCCAAAAAACAGAATTGTCTCAGCTACGATCATTATCATCGGTAGAAAACATGGGTCTTGCTGAACCAAAACATGGCCGTAAAGAAACCGATGAACAATTCGATCAACGTTACATTCAATATTTTAGCCGACCAGATATAGATAATTGGGAATTGCGTAAAGGTATCAATGATTTACATGGTATGGATTTGATACCCGAACCACCGATTATTATTGCTGCACTTGAAGCTGCACGTCGTTTGAATGATCATTCAATTTGTGTTCGATTTTTGGAAGCCTTACGATGGAAAAGTCGTTTTGATAAAAATATTTATCCATATTTGATTCAAGAAATTCGTCCAACATTGGATAAATTGGGTATCAGTACACCAGAAGAACTTGGATATAATGAACCTGAATTGGCTATCGATGATTGTTTTGATAAATAATTAAGTAATTAATTTTAATTGTAAAATGTACTGTGTGCTTATTTGTTTTGTTCTTAAATCATTAAAAAAAACATATATAGCTTATTATTAATTTTGTATCAATGAAATAATAATTGAGGAGGTAGTGATTTTTATCTGTTTCATTGATATATAAATTGAATTGAATTTGTTTTTTTTTCAAATCAAATCAAATTTTATCCCATTCTTGTTGTTGATCAGTACCGAATATTGTGAAAATCATATTACCAAACAAATATATTGCTGTTGTTATGTAGAATATAAAATTCCATTTTTCGATAGCTGTTTCACCGAACGATGATGATGTGGATGTGGATGATGTTTCGAATACAAGACCAACTAACCATGGACCAATAATACCCATTAAAAATGCTAATGAATGTGCAAAACCAACAATAGAACCGGTATAATTTCTTGAATATTCGGAAACAATTGTCCATTCACCACTGGTAAAAAATCCATGTAAAAACATTGCTATAATCATCAAAGCAAAAACAATGTTTTGGCTACATTTTTGTTGTTGTTGATGATAATGAGTTATTCCTAACAAACAAATAGCCGGTCCAACCATTGCAATATTTTGTGATATTTTACGTATTAATAATGGTGATATTTGAAAATGTTTAATGAAAAAATTACATAAAATTGGACTAATAAATGATCCAATACCGAATGCAAATACAACCAATGCACTAATCAGACCATTTTCTTCGATTGTCAATTCGAATACAATGGCAAAATATGAAGGCATTTTGTTTAGTATAAGAAAAAAACCAAATGCACAGCACATTTTACAAATGACCGATGACCATATAACCGGTGATATAAGAATTTTTAACCATGGTGTTCGTCGTATTGTATTTTTCTATATTTTCATTTTTTGAAATCAGAAAGATTTAAATTGAATTTTTAATGAGAAAAAACATACCTTTGATTTGGAAATTGTAAACGGCATCGAAACTTTTTGTTGTATGAATTGTAATTCCATATCCGAAATTCGTTTATTTTCCAATGGATCATCTGATCCATACCAAAGCCATAAAACAATCCAAGGCAAATGTAATATTGCCATTACATAGAATATTAAATGCCAACCTATTTTGGATAATGTACAAAGATGACCAGCCAATAGATACATCGCCGAACAACCAATTGCATTACCAATTTGCATCCATGAATTTGCTTGTGTACGTTCATTACCATAAAACCATTTACTAAATAATGAAAACCATGCCGGATATGTAAATGCATGAAATCCACCAATCATAATCTGTATAATAATCAATGCAAAATCTTGATAATAATCAACGGCCAATGGTGTTATAGCCGATAGAATACAAGGACCAATTATACCGATAAATGCAAACCATTGTCCACCATAACGATCAGTAAAACTGCCTATTATTGTTGGTAAACACCAATATAGATAGAATGATGAACCAAGTATTGTACCCTAATTATAAGTAAACGATTTTTTTTTATAAAATAAGTTTACATTGAATGTTTTTTTTTTGTTGCAAATGTTTACTTGCTTATTCTGATTCCAATCAAAATATTGATCTATTATTTCGGTCGTTGTTCGATTCAATGTTGATAATTTTGATTGTTGTGTCATATAAACCAATGCAACACTAACACCAGCACGATACATAAACAATAAAGCACATGCATACATTCCCAATAATCCGATTATCATTCGGGTTGACATTTTTTTTTTCGGGATCGATTTTCAATCTTGAAATGATTATCTTTAAATTATCAACCCAATGCAGTGCACTGATTTTTTTTCGCATTTCGGTAAAAAAAGATATCTGTGTTTCCAATGTTTCTATGATCCATTTTTTTGTTTTAAATTTCGGTTTTTGTTTTATGACCGAAATGTCAACAAAACTAAATAAAATGACTTCTTTTTTTTCCATTTGTTTGATGACCGATTTTGGGAAAATTTTTCAACTTAAAAAAAAAATCTGTTACAGCATAGAGATCCATAAATTGGCTCCATTTTTTTTTTTTTTTTTTGAATAAAAAAATTGAATTTATTTAATTGGAATTGCCATCATCATCATTATCATCAAATACATAATTTTGCACGCAACCAATCGACTATTTTTTCCAACAAAAAAAAAATGTGTGAGAAAATTTAAGCGCGCAATAAGTACCAATATGGCCTTGATTAGCAATCGCCACCACCACATTCATTGATTAATGATTGATTTGGCAATCATCAATTGGCTACATTATTGCGCGATGTACCCATCATCATCGCTTTTACATAGCTCTTTTCCTATCATTACATTAGATTTTTTTTGTTGTTGTTGTTTGGCTTTTTATGATTATCAACAACAACAACTAAAAACAACAACAATTTGCAATAAAATTCATCATAAGATTCTGTTGTTTTTTGGTTGTGTGAAAAAAAAATATCAAGGATACAATGTTAAAATAAGACATTTGAATAATAAGACATGATAAGAACCATTAAAAAAACAACATTCCATCTAGGCATATATTTGAACAATATTATTTCTTGATCGATCATTCTAGAAATTGTTTGTTTTCAAGTAAGGTGAATCATTTTTCAAGCATATTCCAAGCTTTAATTTTCCTGTTTCAAAATCATATTGATCCAATTGAGATTAGTGATCTGATTTTAATCCATTTGTGTGTGTGTGTTGTGGTTGTCATAGTAATTTGTCCTTTTAACGTACAAGATTATAAGTTTTTTTTTTGTTTAAACAGGCTATAAAAATATCGAATCAACACAATGGCTGATGACAATACAGACAAAATGTTGCGAAGAGAAACAACTAACGTTAACAACAACAACAAAAACAACGACAATAATAATGGAACGGATGTGGTTAATTTGGATGATTATAAAATTGATCATAAACGACGATATTATCCATTTACAATAGTATGGACACCTGTTCCAATTCTTTCTTGGTTATTTCCACATATGGGACATTTAGGTATTGGTAAATCAGATGGTCATGTAAGAGATTTTGGTCGTCCATATAAAATACTTGTGGATAGTTTACAATTTGGTCGTCCACTTAAATATTGGATACTTGATCCACGATTAGCTAAAGGTGGTATAAAAGGTTGGGATGATGGTATCGATGAAGCTGGTAATCTTTTCTGTAAACGAATGGTATGTATAATGATTAGGATTATCTGAATTCAATCAATTTTCTTTTCTTTTCAAAAGAATTATTTATTCGTTTCAAATTGTCATTCACATGTATCGACAGCATTAAATCATATGGAATATAATGGCCGTAAAGATTATAATGAACATAAATTATTCTGGATGTTTAATAAAAATTGTCATTATGTTAGGTAAGATTTTCGGTGATCTGTTTTTTTCCAACCTGTTCATTCATTTATTGATCTCATTTTGTTTTGTTTTGTTTATATTATATAGCACATGTACATTTATTCGAACATGGTTACCATTGACATTGATTGTATCGACAATTACTGTTATTGTTCTTTATACTCAAACCAATGTATTTGAAGATTTATGGGCTAAAATCCATTAATTCATTTAAGAAGATCCATTTTTTTGAAACATATAAAAAAAATTACATTTGTAAAATCATATTGTTGACTATTAAAATTATTAGAAAAAATACCTCTAGATGGCGTTCTGTGGTCTAGTTTTTTTTTTAAATTTGAAAAAAAAAATTTCTTTGACAAAATTCTCCCGCCAGCTATTTTCTTCATCTCGAATATTGCAATGACCATGAATTATCCTATCATATCAAACATAATCGATAAGATTGATTATTTAAATATTTATCAAATAAAAAAAAATTTGTTGTAAATGAAAATTTGCTTTCTTTTTTTTGCGCAATAAATTTGCAATTTTCCAAGTATATCAATATATGAATCGAATTGAATTGAATTGAATTGATTAACATGGTGAATCGAAATATTGAGTAAATAAATGAAATAAACAAAAACAAAACAAAACAAAATTCGAATTGAAATTCCATTCGAGATTGCAATCTTGTGCGATGGTCATTATTATTATAACGAATTTCAATAGATTTTTAGTAAAAAGTGGTATGATTATTATGATGACAGTAACCAAACTCGATTTCAATATTTGAAGTAGAAAAAAATACGTCAGCAAAATATGTATAGGCTAAAAAAACAAAAAAACAAAAAATATTTTTAGAAACATCCGATATGATTCAAAAAATTAAAATTCTTTACGTAAATTGATATTGAATGGTGATGATGATGACAAGAATGATGATGCCTGTGTTACTAAAAATAAAATCATTATCACATTAATGTCATTAATGTGATAATCAACAGATTTTATCTTTAATCATCAAATGATGATGTTTTTGTTGTTTTTCTGTGTGTTAGGAAAAAAAACAAGGGTTATAATTTTGTTGTTTGCACAAACAAAATGACCAATCAAATATTGAAATTTAATTCGAGAAAATTCACGAATAAAATAATGTCTAATTATGGTGGGAAAAATAGAAAAAATAAATTTTCCATTTTACCTGTGTTAAAATCAATGGTTTGATTTGATATCGTCAGATTGTTGATTATATAAATGTTGTTGTTGTTGTTGTTGTCGTTTTTTACCCCCTGTATGTTGAATGAAGATTGTATAATTTTCAAGGAATTAATCCCAAAATAATATTTGCCAAAAAGTCAAATCTAATGAATAATTATGATGATGATGATGACGGTGCTGATGATATGATTTTCAATCAAAAAAAAATAGTTGCTGTTTTTGTCGTTTGAAGTAAATTAAATCATTCATTCAAGTTAAGCAAAAATATAATCTTAAAACCTTGAATTCTGATGATGATGATAATTAACATAAATTAAAAGAAGAAAAAAAAGAAACACTTGTCAAACGACCGGTCAGATGTTGTTTTTTTTCTTCATCAGAATTATGAATTTAGAAAAGAAAAAAACAAAAATAAAAAGAAGTTATTGAAATTGAAATCATTTTCATAACACAAACGTATCATGTTATATTATCATGTCTGTCTGTCAATGTGGTGGAAGTGTTGAAATGAAAAAGTAGGAAAGCACCTCCTTAAACTAATATTCGCAAAAATTAACTGGTTAAATGGTTTTTTGTTTTTATCTTGTAGATGTAGTTCTCGTATCTGATGTTTCTTCGAATTGGATTCTTGATTTATTTTTTTCTTTTTCATCTTCATGTGATTGATGTTTGGGCGAATCATTTGGTGAGAAAAAAAAAGAAGGGTATATAGATGACCAGTTCCATTTATGAAATGTTCATTTGAAATTTTTCCAAAATTGAAACGAATTGATTGATCACATTTTTTTGTGTGTTTGTAGAATTCAAAATTAAAAAAAAATGTTAAATCAATTGATTACCATGAATCATGTAAATCAATCGATCGATATTGATAATTCGATTGATGAAAAAAATGATCGTTGGAATCATTTACATCTTTATAATGGTCTTAAACAATATAATATTGATCCAGATAATAGACGTTATCCATGTTGTTTAGTTTGGACACCATTACCATTAATACATTGGATTTTACCACCAATCGGTTTTATTGGTCATCTTGGTATTGGTCGTTCGGATGGTGTTGTTCTTGATTTTGCCCGTCCATATCGTGTATCAAGAGATTCAAAAAAATATGGTAGAAGATTAAAAATTCTTCCATTAAATCCAAAATTAGCACGTGATGGTACAATAGAATCATGGGATAATGGTATTGAACAAGCGGCAAAAATTTTTGCAAAAAAACCAGTAAGTTTTTCAATCAAACTGGAAATCATTGTTGTTGTTGATTAAAAACTTTTATTACTTTTTTTCCAATCAGCATCTAATATTATGGAGTAATTGTTATACATTTGTTGCATCAGCATTAAATATAATGGAATATAATGGTCGTTCGGATTATACTGGAACAGAATTATTTTGGTTATTACATAATCATTCGGATTATCTTGAGTAAGTTTTGATTTATAATCAAATGATTATAATTTTGATAAAATTAATGAAACTTTTTCGAAAATTTAAATAGTACCAGAGCCTTTGTTCGTACTTGGGCACCATTTGCTGTGATCATTTTATTGGCAATATTTTTACATTTTCTATTCGCTAGTTTATTAATTGATTTTTGACAACAAAAAATATTTTAAAACTTCAAATAGCCAACAAATTCTTCGATTCACTTATTTATTTTTTATTTAATTTTCACTGAATAAATATGATGAATTGAAAATCTTCAAAGTTCTTCAACGACAAAAAAAAAGAACGGAAAAAGCAAAACAAAAAAATCGAACGTTCGACGAACAAAATCATTTTGAAGACGAATATGATGACAGCGCCATCTCGCATCATCAAACTTTTTTTTTTATCTTTTCGATGGCTTTCTGTTTGCAAAAACAATCGAATACACATGTACTTTATCAACAAAAAAATAACGGCTTGTGTTTTTTAAAACATCCTCAAAAATAGTTTTTTAATTAGGCAAATTTTTTAATTTAATTAAAAAAATTCAAATTCCAAATAAAATGCTCATCACACATATTTTATTCGATTTTGATGGTACATTGGTCAATACTATTGATTCACTTGTCAATATTGTTGAACAAATTGTAACCGAAAAAAATCGATTAATGACCGATGAAATAAGAGGTAAATTTTTGATAATTTTTTTTTTACTGAATCTTCAATTATCGATTGTTCTTTTCTTTCTTTTTTTTTGTAGATTTCATTCCAAATATGACCAGTTATCGTTCGTTAATGGAATTTATAAATGAAAAATTAAATCTTCAAATAACATATGATGAATTTAAACAAGATTTATTACAAAAACATCTTGATGCTGATATAAAATTAATGCCCGGTGTTGAAGAATTAGTTGAACATTTTTATCTTTGTAATATTCCAATGGCTGTTGCTACAGGAAATTCAAGGTATTGTATTTATTGCAATAAAAATTTTTAAATTTAAATTGATTTTCTTTCTTTCTTTTTGTGGACAGACCATTTTACGAAAGCATTTCGGCAAAATTTGGTAATTTTTTCCCAAAATATTTTCAACATTTTGTCTGTGCTTTTGATGATCCAGAAGTAGCTAGACAAAAACCATGTCCAGATGTTTATCATATAGCAGTGAAAAGATTTCAACAACAACCAGATAGTATGGAAAATGTATTGATATTTGAAGATTCAATGACTGGTTTAAAAGGTGCAATCGAATCAGGTGCTCGTACGGTATTTGTTACCAGAAATTATAGCCAAATTCAAACCGATGAACATAAAGAATTGGTTAGAAAAGCTGATTTACAATTAGAAAGTTTAGAACAATTTGATTCAAAAAAATTCAATATTCAACCATTAACAATGTTACGAATGATAAATCAAGCAAAAAAAATTTTCTAATACGTCCTATCCGAATAGAATTAGTTTTTTAGTTAAATGATGATGATGTTTTTTTTCTTATCAAGAATTTTGACGTAAATTTTTTTATTTTTATTTTTTTTTTGTTTTGTTTTGTTTAATGTATACGCGTTTCGATAAATAAATAAATTTGCAAATTCTTTTTTTTTAAATAAAAATCATTGGTGCTTGTTGAAATTATTTATCATTTTTTTAAAAAAAATCTTTAAAATGTCTTCGAACGAAACGATAAACGGTTCGACAATAAGAAAATTTCTTGATGAATTACAACATAATTTTAATCAATTAGCCAGTGAATCAAAGAAAAAATTTCCACATGTTAAAGAGGTATTTTTTTCCTATTTTTTAAAGATCAAAGGATTGAAATTTTTTAAAATTTTACAGGCATGTGAAACAGGTATAATTCGCGTTCGAAATGTTTCATCATCATCAACAACAACAACATTGACTAATTTTAAAGATATACTTTCGAATGAAAGTGCACAATTAATGGAACCATTTTTTATGGGTTGTGATACACGTTGGCCAAAATTAGTACAGATTAGTTTGAATTCGATACAAAAATCAATTCTATTTGAATGTTTGAATAAACAGGCAGCCGAAAATTTAATCAATTGTTTATGGAATCTTATGGAACATAATTTGGAAGAAGTAAAAGTTTTACAAACAATTACCCTATTGATAACAACAAATCAATTAATACAAGATGAACATTTAGCTAAAGTAATATCATTATGTTTTCGTTTATATAATTCAAAAAATTCAACAACAGCCAATACAGCATCGGCTACTATTCGACAATTAATAACAGCAATATTTGAACGTGTTCCAAATGAAAACAACGACGATAATAATGATAATGATAATGAGCAAACAACAATGGATAAGTCAAAATTATTCGAAATTATTGTTTCGAATGATAAACAAGATTATTGTCAACGTTATGTACCGATACGATTTCGTCAAACAAAACCGGCATGTATGGATGCATATAATTTGATGCAAGATCTTATACAGATAATAAATGGTGAAACAACATTTTGGTTGAAAACAACAACATCTTCAGCCGATATTGGAAAATTATTTGCATTAGAATTATTAGAATTAATTATTGATCAATATTCAAAAATTTTCTATGTTTATGATGAATTTATTTTTATACTTAAAGATAAAGTATGTCAAGTAGTGATAAAATTATTTGCACCAAATCTTAAATCGATTCGAAGTAATAATCGTCATCATCATCATCATCATCATCAACATAATCATCAATTACCATCATTGCTTCAACGTGGTGGTGATGATGGTTTGATCAATGTTGATTCAATATCGGATAATTTAACGAATCATCAAACATTGAAAATTTCACCCACACAACAATGGTCAACAACAGTTCGTTTAATGCGTATTGTTACTATTTTGATAAAAAATTATTTTAAATTATTAATAACTGAATGTGAAATATTTTTATCACAATTAATACGATCATTAGAAGTGGATAAATTTAATTGGCAACGATTGATTGCATTAGAAGCATTATATAAAATATTGGATGCACAAACATTATCTTCGCTATGTGAATATTATGATTCATCTGAACAAAGTTCAAAAATTCTTTTCAATATTATAAATGCATTATGTATATTTATACAATCACAATTTCAAATTATTGATTCATCAACCACTCAAAGTTTAATTGCATCATTAGTTAATAATAATAATAGTGGTAATATTATTGGTGTTGGAAATCAATTTTCACCTGTTACAAGTACATCTTTGAATCGAACAACAACCATTTCAACCGATCAATTTCCTACATTTAATCTGAGAAACATTACAACAACCTTGTTATTTATACCATTCAATAATGATTATCGTTATAAAACATTTTATATTGATCAATTGGATAAACAAGAACCACCACAGGCACCAAATGGTCATGGCCTGAGTACGGGTATTGCTTGTGTATTTGAGGTGGCCAATTCATTAATGAAAATTATTGAAAATTATCTTGAAATCAGAATTGATACAAAATCGGAAAATAATTGTAAATCGATAATTCAAAAACATCTTGCTCAACAACAACAACAACAAACAGATAAAGTAAAATTACATCGACAATTAATATTATCAACTTATAATGGTTTGATTGGATCATTTTCATTATTACTTGATGCTTCCATTGATGAAAAATGTACTGAATTAATTTTGGATCAAATACAAAAACTAATCATTATATATGGCCTATATGATATTGATGTAGCACGTGATTTATTACTGATTTCATTATGTAAATCGGCATTACCTTCGAATTATTGTCTATTATCAGCATTAAATCCTGATAATATTTCTACCGGTGATTTTCTACATCAACAAAAAACAAACAAATCAAATGAAGAAACAACCAGCTCAACAAATTCGTTGTCCACAAATTCAAATGTATCATCTATGGCTGCCAATCTATATACATCGAAAAATTTATTATCAAATTCATCAATTAATCTTAGTAATCTTCTTCAACAACAAAATAATCATCCACAGTCAATGAATTCAAATAAATCAACATTAGAATCATCATCATCAACAACAACAGCAACAACAAATAATAATTCATCATTGAATTATGAACATAATCGTCAAGTGATTGCTGTTGGTACACCATTACCAGTGAATAATAATAGTCAAACATTTGGTAATAATTCTACTATTCAATCTCAACAACAACAACAACAGAATAGTGGTCCGGTTATGTTGATAACAAAAAATCTTCAATGTATGCATTCAATTATGCATATATCAATGAAATATGGTGATTTATTTGGTGAAAAATCATGGCATATTTGTTTTACTACATTGCAACATTTAGTATGGATTCTTGGTATCAAATTGAATAATTCTAAAGCATTTAAATTGAGAAATTTTCATCAAACTAATGTTTCAATGCAATCTGATCATCAACAACAATCATCAAATGTTGAACAAATTGGTTCAACATTGAATGATTTACCTGTTTTGACAGCCATGCTTTCACGATTATTCGAATGTACACAGTAAGTTTGGTTTGTTTTTTCAATTTGATTTTCTGATATTTTTGTAAATCGCTTTCGCTTGTTTCACTAATTATTAACAAACAAAAAAATGTTACCATCTTTTCTTCTTTTTTTTATCTATCTTTCGATGTTGCTTTCTTCTTTTTTTTTAAAAAAAGTTACGACAACATTTCGGAGAATTTATCTTCGATATTTTTCAATACTCAGTAAGTTTTCTATATTTTTTTCGGGTTCTTCTTTTCGTTGCTTATTATTGTTGCTTTTGTTCAAAGTTTTTTTCCCCACTCGAAAACATTTGATTTTAACTATTTTGTTTCGTTTTTTTTCGCTCGTAGAACCATTTCAGATGATTCTTTATTGACAATGATAAAAGCATTGATTACCATTTCAAATGAAGCAATGGATATTGCCTATAATAATCGTGAACCATCATTAGTAAGTATTTTTGATTTGTTTTCCTTTGTTGTTGTTATTCATTTTGCAATTCATTCTGTTTTCTTAGTTTGCTATTGTCAAAATTCATGAAACAGCTTTAGTCAATCTAACACGAATTGATTTATTCTGGGATCTAATTACAAAACATTTGATTGAAATTTCATTACATCCTTATAATAAACTACGGGAAAATTCTGTTGAAGTTATTTGTAATCTTGTGCAATCCATACTAAATTATCGTTTTATGAAAGAAAAAAATGAAGAAAATTCATCCAATTCATCAGAATTATATTATTTATTATCATTACAATCATTATCACAAAATAAATTTATCGATATTCGTCAAAAACAAATTGAATGTTTATTACAAATTTTACAAACAAATGGTGAAGATATAACTATTGGTTGGCCAATATTATTTAATATTATTGAATCAGCATGTTTGCAACAAAATGATAAACTTGTTGTACAATCATTTCAATGTTATGAATTTATTGTATCAAATCTTTTACGTTATATACCATCAATACATTTAATACATTGTATTAATGTTGCTGTTGCATTTGGATCACAAGTGCAAGAATTAAATGTTTCATTATCCGCTGTTGGTCTTGTTTGGAATGTTGCCGATTTTCTTCATTCAAATCATAATCAAATACAATGTTTAATTGATAATTTTATTCAAAATGGTCATAAATTTGTTAGTATTGATTTGCCGTTTTGTGAACATCTTACACCTGTTCAAAGTTTATGGATTTCATTGTTTAAAAATTTAAGCAATCTTTGTACTGATGCTAGACTTTCAGTTCGTAAAAGTTCTGTTCAAACTTTAATGTCAACTTTGTCGAAACATGGACAAACATTAGATTATAATACATGGAAGGCAATATTTTTCTACATACTTTTTCCGTTGGTTGATAGTGTACGTACATTATGCAGTTTGGCATCGAATGAAAAAATTACACAATCAGAATCATCTAAACCAAATACATATGTTGATGATTCTCAATCATATATGATACATTATTCAAGAAATACAGCATTCAAACAATGGTGTGAAACACAAGTATCGGTTATAAATGGTGTTTCAAGAATTATAAGCATAAAACTTGATTTATTAATTGAAAATAGTTTGTTACAACAATCGCCTGAATCGAATAACAAAAATGAAACAATTTTATTGAACATTTGGACATTATTTTTTGAATTTATTTATACATCATCAACATGCGCCAATGAAGAAGTATCAATGTCGGCAATCAAATGTTTTAATAAAATTATTAGTTTTCTAAATGATTATCAAGCAAATAATATTGACAATGATAGTAATGATGAAATTAATCGATTAATGAATCTTATTTGGAAAAATGTTTGGAAAATTTGGTGTAAAATTGGCAATCATATTGCAACGATTAATAATAATAAATTTTCAAATGAAAACAATGGTTTTGATTCGGAACAATGTTCAAATGTCAATAATACAACGGATTTTATACCATCACAATCTTACCTGTGTTTATTCATACAACCATTGTGTATAATTTTATCCAAATATATTCATCATTTAACTGAAAGGTTTGTTTTTTTGCATTTTTCTTTTCTCTAAATTGATTTTTCTGTTTGTTTCCGAAAAAAAATTAGTGATTTCAAAAACATGTCAAACATTTTACAAAATGTAATGAATATACCATTCGATGTGATAGCTGAAACTTATCATCATACATCATCTTATCGTCATAATCACAATCATCATCCTCATAATCATAATCATCCGGTTATTCAAACAACAGATAATTTATCATCATCATCATCATCACCATCATCATTATTGACAAATCTTCAACATGAAATTCTTATAACAATGGAAAAAATTCAAACAGAAATTGTATCGAATTTAACAACATTGAATCATTTGTTGCCATTAATTTATTATCAATATTTAACATTTTCATTATATGCAGTCAATATTGGTAAATATTTTTGTTGTTGTTGTTGTTGAAAGAAATTTTATTCAAGCGTTTCTCTTTTACTTTTGAAATAGTGCCACCAAATCTTGATGTATTCATTAGTTCACAATTTCAACATCGTTTTCTGCCGGATGAATTAACATCACTTAAATCGGCTACATTCTATACATTTGGTGAACTATCACTTCGTAATGCATTTAATTTATATCTGTGTACTTATATGGAACCTATTGTTATTAAATCACATATTTTACATTCATTGATTAAGGTAACACAAAAAAATTGTTTATATGCAAATTCTAATACCATCTTTTAAATCGATTTTTCTAGGCATATAAAATTCCATTATGTTTTAAATATTCTTGTCCATTACCGACTACATGGAAATATGCTGTCAATTATTTTATCAAAACATTGGAATTAGGATTACCATTGGCTCGACGATATCGTAAGTGATTGCTGAATTTTGTTCATTTTTTCATTCAATTTTATCCATAACAGCTGCTGATTTCATAAGCATTTGGGCCGATTTAGCATTAACATTCGAAGGTTTTCTATTTCCAGCCAATAAACCACCATCGAATCAAAAATTAGAAGAACAACAAATGGATGAATCATTGGATGTTAAAGTAGTCGAATTGATACGTGATCATATAATGATACATGCACAAAAAATACCAAAAGAATTTCTTTTACAAATTGTTTCGATTTTAAATCGTGGTTCAATTCATTCACCATCAATCACTTTGATTGAAACCGAAATGAATCGTAAATTACGTGAAGATTTTGCCAGGATTTGTTTTCAAACATTATTACAATTTTCATTTTTTGGACCAAAAGGTAATCCAGATTTATTTATACAATCATCGAAAACAAATTTAAATTGTTCGGAAAATATTGGTCAAATATTATCTACTGAACAAACAATCGGTATTGTTAATAAATTAGCCGTTGCATCGATTCTAAAACGATTTAATGATGTAATTATAAAATATGTTGAAGATGAACAATTATGTCCATGTCCATTACCAAGACATCGTTTAAGTGAAATATCATTTGTATTAAAAGCATTGGCAACATTGATTGCATCATTAAAAGAAGCACCACCGGCTGCTGTTGAAAATCATGTTTGGCAACAGCTTATTAATCTTTATCCACGTATTGTTGATTGTACAATGTCCAATTCACCACAAGTAAATAATTCTATACGTGAAGTATTACATCAATATGCATGTCTTTTACAATGTCCTGATTCACAATCAACAATGATTACTGCTGCTGTTAAACAATTTGAATCGAATGGAATTCATAATCATCATCAACAACAACAACAAACAACGCTAACAACAAAATCACTGCCAACAAATAATAAATCTTCTGTGGATATTAAATCAAAAACCACGGAAAAAAATTTTCAACGAAATGGTAATAGTAAAAATGCTGAAATTAATATTTAAAAATTTTTATACTCGAATTGTCATCACCCAATGATTTTACATTTTTATTATAAATAAAAAAATTTTCTTTTTTAAATCAAAAATTAAAAATTAAAAATCATTTAAAAATTAATTCATTGGGATAGATATATGTTTCTTCATTGGTAACATAAGCAGGCTGAATGAATGAACCATCATTTGAACTATCGATTTTTTTCATATCAACATCATTATCCAAATCACCAAAATGTAATGTTTTTTCACCTTGATCGGATTCGGTATCTGTTGATGGATGATTTTGTTCAATCATTGTGGATACAGAATGTGTTTTAACAACCAATACTTGTGGTTTGAATTCCAGACGTAAATTCTGCATCATATCTTCAAGATTACCATCCCATTGATTTAATAATTGAATAAAATTTTCAAAATTCAAACCAGTATTATTGATTTTAATACCGAATGAATCATTAATTTGTTTGATAAGAAATTCTTGAAAATTATTAAATAATTTTGAATAATTTGTATCCGGACAAATTTCATAGAAAATTTCTTCATCACCACTTTCGGCTTTTTTAACATTTTTGAATTCTTTTTTTGCTCTGGTTGCTTTTTTATCATCAAATTTATTTTTCAATTTTTTCATCGGATTCTGGTGTTGTTGTTGTTGTTGTTGATGTCGAGGTTTCAAATTTTTCGGTTTCATTTTCTTTTTTTTTCAATCAAAAATCAATCAATTTAATAAACTAAAATAAAAAATAAGTGAAACAAATGTCAAGCGAATGCAGATTAAATACCATTGGCCATTGATAATTTGATTAAATCGATGATGATTGTTGTTGAAAGAATTTTTGCGCAAAAAAAAAAATTCGAATTTTTTTTCATTACGTACATTCTGAACGAGTTACCTTTCAGCTGGAATTCTTTAAAAATTCGATTAAAACAAATTCAACATGACGATTATGTTACAGATAAATGGCCTGAAATCACGAATATCGTTGATTACAAAACGTTTTAAATTACCTGAACGTTTAAAAGGTGGAATGATTGAAAATTCAATAAATTATTTACGTAATGTTGGTAATGATTATAAACATGTTTATCTTGAAACATTACAAGATATTCGAAAACGACCATTAAAAGCATCAATTATCGGTACTATATTAATATCCGGTGGTTATTGTATACAACATAATCCATCATTTGATGATTTTCAAATGGAATTAATTGATTCGAATAATCGTCTTTCACGTGTACCATCAACTATACGAAATGAAAAATCTTGTCAATATGTTCATCGTTTATTTCGTATGAATGATAAACAAATATTACGTTATCAATCATTTGGTCTATTTTCAATCATCTATATTTCTGATCAATCAATCGATAATTGTTTATTTAAATATCAATGTCGATATATAAAACCTGAATGGCGTACTTTTTTCACTGAACGTTTTGTTGATATAGGTTTTGTCGATAGATTTCATTACCTTGATTATAAAATGAATGATTATGATGTTAATCATAAGGAATTTGAACAAAAATTAATTGAATAAAATTTTTTATTTATTTAAAATTTGATTAAAACAAAACGTTTACATATTTTACTCTTCAATATCGACATTTGGCATATTTTTAATAATAAAATTATTCAATTCTAATCTATTTGAACCTAAACGGATTTTGCTCAGATAACGATTTGAATCAAAATAGAAATCCGTAATTGGAAAAAGATTTGTAATATTTTTAATATTAAATTCGGTAAGCATCGTATCGGATATTTCAATTTGATTAAATCCATTGAATAAACGTTTTAAAATTGGTAAAATTAATGATTCATTATCTAATAATCTGGTTATATGTTGTTCGAATTTTTTCAATGATCGATTCGATACAAACCAACCGGAACATGTTAAACGATTTGGCTGATCAGGTTGACAATCACAAGGCCATATTAACATTTTAATTATCAAACGATCACATAGATCATTATTATTCGGTTGATAATCATCCAATGATTCGGCAAGAAAAATTGTTCCAAAACAAAATGCAAATAGGATAAATAATTTTAATGAAATTCGACGACGCATCGTAAAACAATTGTTCAATTCAAACAACAACAACAACAAAGAAAAAGAAAGAAAACCATCAATAACTAAGCTAAATTAACTAATAATCCATCCATCTATCGATTTGACTTTGACTTTTATTGTCTATAAATATGTGATGGCGGTACTTGAAATTTGATTGTTTCATAATTTTTGGAAATGATTGAATGACTGTATCATTATCATATGAGATACAAGTATCTTATGTTGATGTTTTAGATTAAAACAATAATCAATTTGGAACAAAATAAAAGTTCAAAAAAAGTACAATAATCTTATATATCAAATCCAAAGCATGAGAGGGCGCGCTTTTGATTTTTTTGAAAACTTTCAAAGTTTTTTTTTCATCATCAAAACAACGCACATTAAAAGAAATTGATTCGAATCATTCAGGGGGATGAATGAGCGCCATCTCTATTCATCAGAAAAAAATTTTCCCCAAAATATGGTTAAAATTTTTTTATTTTTCTTTTCACCATAATCAATGAATGTGACTCAGCTTCAACAGCATATGTCGTCGATTTACTACTACCCCTATCATTTTACCTAAAAAAAAAAATTTAGGCAAAAAAAAGAAAGAAATCCTGGTTTTTCAAAAAGTAGTGGCATTCTCGATGTAATGCCNAACATGTTAAACGATTTGGCTGATCAGGTTGACAATCACAAGGCCATATTAACATTTTAATTATCAAACGATCACATAGATCATTATTATTCGGTTGATAATCATCCAATGATTCGGCAAGAAAAATTGTTCCAAAACAAAATGCAAACAGGATGAATAATTTTAATAAAATTCGATGCATCGTAATTTTTCAATCCACACAACAAAGAAAAAGAAAGAAAACCATCAATAACTAAGCTAAAATATGATTACAAATTAACTAATAATCAATCCATCTATCGATTTGACTTTGACTTTTATTGTCTATAAATATGTGACGGCGGTACTTGAAATTTGATTGTTTCATAATTTTTGGAATTGATAAATGACTGTATCCTCATCATCATCATCATCATATCAGATACTTATCTTATGTTGATGTTTTAGATTAAAACAATAATCAATTTTGGAACAAAATAAAAGTTCAAATATTTTCAAAAAAAAAGTACAAAAATCTTAAATCCAAAGTATACTTACGAGAGGGCGCGCTTTTGATTTTTTAAAATTTTCAAGTTTTTTTTCATCATCAAAACAACGCACATCAAACAAAAAAAATTGATTCGAATCATTCAGGGGGATGAATGAGCGCCATCTCTATTCATCTTTTCTATTTCTTTCATTCATAATCAATGAATGTGACTCAGCTTCAACAGCATATGTCGTCGATTTACTACTACCCCTATCATTTTACCTAAAAAAAAAAAATTGGCAAAAAAAGAAAGAAAGAAATCCTGGTTTTTTTTTCTTCAAAAAGTAGTGGCATTCTCGATGTAATGCCACTATTACCTTTTCAAAATATTTCGCCAGCGTGATTTTTCATGTTTCCATCCATCCATCCAATCAGTGGTAGTAGCATTAATTTTTCAATATTTCTGGCTCACTTAACACGCATAACGCATAACGCAAAGCAAAAAAACAAAACAAAACAACACAAAATCCAGCATTGCTTCCAATCATCATCACCACACTTTTTTGATCATCGATTTATGCGTTCCCTTACCACACACCACACATTGTGTGTTAGATGTTTTATATTTTAGGTTTTCGATGTTAAATGTAAAAAAATGCTGAATGTTGATTGCTGAATGTAAGTGTGTATTTTGGTTTATAATTATTATGGTGTGTTAAAACATCGATTCTTTTTTTTTGATCCAATTTTTTTTTTCAAAGAAAAAGATTATAATCTTTTTTTTCAATGTGTAAATTTTAAGAATTCAATGTTCAATATCAGTAATAATTAATTTTTGTTTTGTTTTGTTTTGACAAGTTTTTTTCCCATAAATTTTCTTCCATCAATTTCCGTATTAAAACTGTATTTTGGTGTTTTGTATGTTTGTATTCTGCGGGATTTTTTTTCCAAGTTGTTGAACCTTACTACTAAAAAAAAAAATTCCAGCAGATTTCAAAAAAAAACAAAAAAATTGTAAATGATGGAAGCTTCATACGGAATTGGTGTGCAAAATCGTTATGCACTATTTCTTGAAGATGGCGAAGATGATTTAGTTGATCCTTATTCATTGATGAATGTTCCTGGTATTGCTGTTGATCATCAATCAGGTAGTTCAGGTGATTCAATGAAAAAAGTTTCAACAACATCATCATCTGCCAATGCTAAATTAAGTAGCAATCAACAAAAAGGCCATCATCATCATCAACAACAACAATCGATGAAATCATCATCATCATCAGCAAATGTCAGTAATAAACAATCACCTGGTACATTAACCGAATCAAAACAACAAAATGTTATGGCCAATAATCAAAAATCTGATTCAGGTAAAATTTATAATTGAAAAAATTTAGCCCGAATTTCCCTTATTTATTTTTTTTTCATTATCCAGTTAAAAGTTTGTTTTTGAAAAAGTAGAATTCTTAATTTAATAATTCCAAAATGACCAGAAAAATAATTCTATTTCAAAAATAATAATCATCATTACCCCCATTAATATATCAAACACACACACACACACAAAACAGCATGCTTCCTCTTGAGTGATAACATGCGAGCACACCATTGCTTTGATGTGTATGGTGTTGTTTTGTATGTATGTATGTGTGTGCGCGCGAGTGAATGGCTTAAGCAAATGAAAAAAAAAGAGACATGTCTGTCTGTCTGTTTCCTCCACCAATGCTCTGTTTTTTTCCATTGCAATATTGGCAGACAACAGCAATAGAAGCAGCAGCAGCAGCAGTGTATGAAACGCGCATATTTTCAAAAAATTCTGATTCATATTACCATTCGATTAAATAAGTTTCAAAATTTTTATCTAATTTGAATTTTTTGTTTTGTTTTGTTTTTTTTTAATCAAAATATAAGGACGACCTAATCGTAATCGTCAACAAGGTCAACGTAATGCTGCCGCTGGTGGTGGTGGTAATTTTAATCGAGAAAATCAGGAAAATCGAACTCAACGATCTCCACGAAACTTTGAAACTAAAGAAGAAGGTGGTGGTGATTTTAAAGGATTATCAAAGGATTATAGGTTTGTCATTTTTTGTGTTCTGATTATCAAGAATCATATTTTGATTATCCTGTTTTTTTCAAACCAAAAAAACAGTGAAAAAGACAATCGTCGAAATGGATTTGCACGTGGTGGTCGTGGTGGTGGCCGCGGTGGTAACAGATTCGGCAAACGTGAATTTAATCGCCATTCAGGATCAGATCGATCTGGTGTAAAATCAATTGATAAACGTGAAGGTGGTGGTTCTCATAATTGGGGAAAAATTGATGATTTTTCTGAACAACCATTGGAAAATGAAGAAATGATCAATGGAGAAAAATCGACTGAAAATGAAAAACCAGCAAATGATGATGGCCAAAATGCTGAAGAAACGAGCGGTGGTGGTAAAGGCGGTGAACAAACTGATGCTGAAGAAACTGAACCGAAAAATGATGAACCTCAACTCAAAACATTGGATGAATATAAACGAGAATTGGAAGAGAAACGAATGCATACACAATTCAATATTAGAAAACCAGGTGAAGGTGAAGATAAATCAAAATGGAAGAAAACTTATGTACTTAAGAAAAAACCAGTGGCCGAAGAAGAGGAAGTTGAATATGAAGAAATTGAAGTGGTGAGTTACTTTTTTTTCAATTGTATAGATTGATTTTTCGATTCCGCTAATTAAGCCGGCCGAATTCTGTATAGACTTTTTGTCTTTCTTTTGCTAAGTCTTTGGTGGTCTTACGGCGGATAAATTAGTCATTTTGAGTTTGAACATTTGGGAATTTGTTGCGAGAATTTTTTTTCATTGATTTCCGTATCAATTTTTGTTCACTTACAATATTTTTTTTCTATTCTTTTTTTAGGAAGAGGATACTAACAAACGTCGTAACCGTCAAGTGCTTGACATTGAAGTAAACTTCCGACCAGCTGAAGGTGGTCGAGAAGTTATTGGACGTCGTGGTGGCCGAGGTGGCGGTGCTGCTCGAGGTGGTGGACCACGTGAAGGTGGTGAAAGACGACGTAATCAAGATGGTGAAGGACGTTCAGGTGGTGAAGGCCGCGGCGGTGGTGGTCGTGGTGGTGGATCTGGCCGAGGTATTGGTGGAGGAAGAGGAGGAAATCGTGGCCGTGATCGTAATCGCTTTCAGCCTGCCCCTAAATTTGACGATTTTAACGATTTTCCATCGTTAGCTTCGTAATCATCGAAGATGATACAAAAATATAAATCTCAATCAATCAAAATGATGCTGAAAAAAAATATAACCCAAAAAAAACGAATAACTGCAAAATTTATTGATTGAAGATCATTCGAAATATATTTACCATCAATACACATACATACATACATACACACCACCAAAATCAAACAAAAAAATCTTTTTTTTTTGCTCTATTTGCCACGCTTCCTTTTTGTGTTGTTTAAAAGAAAAATGATGATAATAATAATAATAAAAGGGGTGAGAGGCGTTACTCGAACTCAAACAAAAAAAAAACAAAAACAAACCAACAACAACAATGGAATCAAAACACCCATTGAAATCTAAATTTAGTCCAAGTTTTTTTTTCTTTCTTTCTTTATCTGTTCACATTTCTTATTCTTGTTCAGCTTCAAGTTATTAATTATCTTCTACTGATACTGCAAAAAAAATTTTTTTTTTTTTGGTCTTTGTTTTTTTCGTAAAAACAAAGAATCAAAATAATTATTGTATAACAACACACTAAACATCTTTTTTTTGTTCATTCAATTTTTTTTGCCTGTCTTTGTGTATTTGACAACAAAACAAAACGAGATCGCGAGTCTTTCGAGATACATCATTTGGAACACATGATTGTTTGTTTGATTTAGCAAAAAATTATTACCCAAAACAAAACATCTTTGTCTTATTAATCTTTTTTCTTCAATTTTTTTTTCTCTGTAACGTCGATTGAATTTGATGATGATGATTATTATTATAATTATAAATATAAAATTTGAATTTTGAAAACAAAAAAAAAAATTGATTTTTTTGCTCGATTTTTTTTTTATTTAAAAAAATATAATAACATTTTTATATAGTAAATAGTAAATTTGAACGTTTAATAATCAAGTTGTTCGTTTTAATGGTAATAGCTTTCTTGGTACTGGATCTGCACTTTGACTAAATGGATATTGATGATTATTATGATGATGATTGTGATGATGACCATTTATCAATGATGATGGTGATGATAATGATGAATAATAATTATGATTTGGATAATGATGATTCAATAGGATTCCTTGATTTGAATTTGTATTCAATTGATTATTATTATTGGATAACATTGTCATTCTTGTTTGAAATCTTTCATTAATTCTATTTGATACTGATGTTAGATAATTTGTATCTAAACCATTACCATTCATATTATTCATATTGTTGTTGTTGTTATTGTTGATGGCCATTGTTGTTATTATTAATTCACTGTTATCTTGTTGTTGTTGTTGTTGTTGTTGTTCGTCCATATTATCGGGTGCACCTGCATTTAGATAGACATATCATTATTAGTTTTGTTTTTATTGATTTTTGATCAACTGAATTCATTGTCAAACGGCCAACAACGTTCGACATTATCATTATCATTATTATTAAACTCACTTAATTTTAATTTATGTAATGTATTTAATAGCTGTTGTCTTCGTTTAGGCATTAAATAATTTGTTACAATATCATCACTTTGTGAATTTTCTAATTTTCTTAATAATTTATCTTCATTATTATAGCCACCACCATTTAAATCTTGATTATTATTATTATTTTGATTATTTGATGATAATTCAATAATATCCGAATCGAATATTATATTCGGTGAATCAGGACGATATAAACGTGATGGTGTTATTTCACGGCGACGATCTGGACTTGGTTGTTTATTATTTAAAGATGTTGTTGATTGTTGTTGTTGTTGTTGTGATGCAGGTGGTAAACGTATACGACCAAATGATACATTTGGTAATATCCATTGTTGTTGATTTTCATCCCATATTGCATCTTCTTTAATTCTTGTTAAATTTGAATAATTACATTCATTTTTCAATAATGGTTGTACTTTTTCCAATATTTGCGATAATAATTTCATTTGTTCTTGTAAACGACGAATTGTTTCCAAATAATCTGTTCGTTCTGATTCAAATTCTGATTGTAAATCATCAACTTCTTGTTCTAATTGTTGTATACGACGTTTAGCTTTTTTCATTAACATTGATTTTGCACGTAATTCTTCCGTTATATCACCATAAGCTTTGAGCAATACTTTATCATCATCATTTAAATGAGCTAATGCTTCCGATATGGCATTCATTTTAGCTTCGGCAATTTTTTTCTTTCGTGCACGTTTTTCTTTCAATTCTGCATCGTTTGCTTTTTCACCACCAATCATTTGATTTTCAATGGATGATAATTTTTTCAATGCCAATAAAACTGATTCATTTTGTTCATCATTTAGGTCATTATTATTCGTTGATGATTTATCCATATTTTCATATCTAGATTTTAATTTATCAATATCTTGTTTAAGTTTTTCTTTATTTTTTAATTCTTCTTGATATTTATTCAATAGATCATTCATTTTATTATCATATGCTTGGCGTATTTCTTCGATTGCCAGATCATTTTGACCATTTTGACCTATAGTGAGATTAAGTGAAAATAAGATAGGATAGGATAACATCAATCAATCAATCAATCAAGAAAAAATTGATCATACCTGTCATTCCAGTAGGCATGGTTGATGATTGTTGTTCAAGCATTTTTTTCAACCACAGAATTTCTTCTTGATATTCACGTAATTTAGCATCTTTTGGATCTTCATTAATTCTTGGTTTATTTTGTATATTTTTTGCACGATTTGCATAACGTAATGTACTTAATGTTTCATCATAATTATTATCAGCTGGTGATATACAAGCAATCATTAATGTTTTTGTATTACCACCAAGACTATCTTGTAATAATCTTGTTAATTTTGAATCTCTAAATGGTATATGTTTAGATTTTCCATCAACTAATGCCGATATAACATTACCCAATGCTGATAATGATAAATTAATTTTTGTTGCTTCTTTTAAACGATCACCGGCAGCACCTGTTTTTGATTGTCTTTCACTACCGGCTAAATCGACTAAATTTAATTTACCAAACTTTACGTCACTTGATTCTAAATCAATTGTTTGCATACGTTCAATATAAATAGTAAATATTGAATGACTACGACTAGAATCAGCATTCATTAATGTAGCACCAACTGAACGATTTTTCCAACCATTTTCCATAATCATTTCACATGAACGTACATCATTTACAATATGCATTGAAAGATTACCAACATAAACACCTGTTTCAGGATGTTCTTTCAATTCTAATTTCTTTTTAATATCCGTTCCTAATAGATCACGTATTTCTTCATTATAAATTTCTAAATAAGAAGCTTGAACAAGAAATTTTGAATTTTCAGCTGTTGATATTGCTTCAAATATATGTTCGAATGATCTAAAATTTTATTAATAAACAAAATCAAATTGGAGCACAGGTAAAACAAAACAAACCTAGGTATAATACCACGATGAGCAGAATCGGAAGTACCTTGCATTGTAAATGATTTACCACAACCAGTTTGGCCATATGCAAATACTGTACCATTATAGCCTTCAGTAACGCTCTATGACAACCAAAAAAAAAGCAAGAAAAAAATGTAGAGGAATTTCAAAAACAAAAAAAAAACAACAATTAAAAAATCAGGTCAAAGTTCAATTTGATTGATTGAAATACAAATTGATCGATTATCGATTCTTTTATTTAAATGAAACAAACAAACAACAACAACAAAAATATATGTCAAACATTACCTCAACAATTGGAAAAACAATTTCATTATAAATTTGTTCAGTAGTTGAATCAATGTAATAAGCACCATCGAATGTAAATGTTTTTGGTGGCGCCGATCGATCATCCGGATTGATCAATAAACATTGGCCACACGATGAATCGATGTTGACAATCACCTAACAGTTAATAACGAAACAAACAAAACAATGAGAAAAATGAGGAAAACAAAATGGAAACATTCTGGAAATACACTAAACCCAGGAACATAAACAAAAATAAAGTTGCAACTTTTATTAAATTGTATGCAGCAGCAGCTGCTGTCGTCGTTTTTTTATCCGTAATAATTACGGTTTAAAACACGGTAATAATAACCGAAGAAAATTCTTTAATTGAAATATGATAACTGTGACTGTGAGCGGGGGGGAACGAAATGATCCAAAAAAGTTTCTAATGGAATTAAGAGTTTTTCATTTGGTTTGGTTTGAAATGATAAATTTCATTGCCATCGCTATATTCATTCGTTTAACATTGCGTGATCAAACCGGGTGATTTTTGGTTTGAAAACGAAAATTCAAGTTTCTACTTTTCAAATTCATTTAATAAATAATGATGATATTAATGATCATTGAGAATTTTGATATTTTATCAAAGTTTTTCATTTTCATTTTACTGCCAAAACAAAAAAACATTGAGGAACGAAAAAAATCAATCAATGCTTAATTGAGAAGAGAAGAAGAGGGGGGAATTTTTTTAAGAAAATGGTTTCGACCCGGTTTTATTTTTTGGTCGTTAAAGTTGTAATAGTCGATTCTGAATTTTTTTTAGATCATGGTCACGCCGATACAGAATGAACTTGACTTTATTTTTGTTTTTTTTTTCTTCAAAAAATTTTTAAAACGAAAAATCAAAAAATCGAAACGAAATCAAATTTACCTGACTTTTTAATTCTTTTTCACGTTGATTTAATGGACGACATCTTGTAATAACTTTAACCGTTTCGGAAGTCATTTGTTGTTGTTTTGTTGTTTTTCTGGTTATTATTTCAACATTGAAATGCAATTCAGGAAAAAAATTTTCGAAGTTTTTTTTGCATTAACAACCACCATAGATCAAATTATGGAATGAAATTTTTTCCTTTGATCGTTGTTGTTGTTGTCACTATGACATTGGTTTTTTGTAGATTGATGGCTGACTGGTTGAGTGATTAAAATCGATTTAAAAACGAACAAAAAAAAATTCGTGACAATGAAAATGTTTCTGAATGGAAAGGAATTTATGTAACACGAATAAAATTCACAGGAATCGTTTCCAAAACATTCGATTGATTGATTGATTGAAAAAAAAACATCAAATTTAAAGAGACAAAATTTTTTTTTGTTAAACTTTTCAACAACGAAAAAAAAAGTTGGAGAAAAACGGAGAGATTAACGGTAAACTAATAAATTTATTTAAATCGAATCGATAAATGAAATAATTATGCGGTCTATATGTGTTTGTGTGTGTCTGAATGCGATTAGAAAACTATTGTCGTCGTCGTCGTCGTCGAGAAAAACATTTTTTTTTCTTTTTTTCGTTCAGAAATGAAAATATATGGAAAAAGAACGAAACCCGAAATTTCATGAAATTTCACATTGAATAATAGGTTACCATGACAAAATTGACAATAGCAACCCGGGTGGTGTTTGATATCTAAGATTTTTCATTTTTCCAAAAAAGATTTTCTGATCTACAAAGATACATGCTCTGTCTTAGTGTTTTTTTTTTAGCTCACTCTGTGTGTTATCTTAGGGTTAATTTTAATTTTTTTTTTCTGAAAAAAAAGGATTCCTTTTCCAATTTTTTGTGTATCGTTATTTTGTCCGAGAAAGAAAGAAAATTCTGTTTGACGTAATTTTTTATTTTTTTCTAAAAAAATCATACTTTCCGGAAATTGTTTTTTTGCAATTTGAATGAATGTATCTTAGCTCAGGTGACAGTAATTTTTTTTTGAATAAAAGCGAGAAGGAGAAAAAAGATCGTTACATCAATAGAATCCAGTACATTCCGTGCAACACGTTAATTTTGCCGTGCAAATACAATGTGTTACCAAATTGGAACAAACGTGTACACTTTGCCATGCTGTAAACATTGAGATTCGATTGAATTTTTTTTTTTTAATTAAATGTTTCTATTGAGCTAATCACCGAAATAAAGATGGGCAAGAAAAATAAAAAAAATTGTAAGTTTGATAATCGAACGAAATCTTTATTTAAATCAATTTTTTAATTTAGTGAGCAATGGATTAAGCAAATCCGAAATAATGGTAACAGTTGTTGCCGAAATTATTGCAGAACTAATCAAAGCTGATCGACAAGATTATTCAGTCGATTTGAATCGTTTAAAATGTATGCTTGCACAAAAATATGGACTTGATTCACAGCCACGTTTAGTCGATATAATTGCTGCCGTTCCACATGAACATCGTCAATCGTTATTGCCTAAATTACGTGCAAAACCAGTACGAACAGCATCAGGTATTGCTGTTGTTGCTGTTATGTGTAAACCTCATCGATGTCCACATATAAATATGACTGGTAATATTTGTGTTTATTGTCCAGGTGGTCCGGATTCGGATTTTGAATATTCAACACAAAGTTATACCGGTTATGAACCGACATCGATGCGAGCTATACGTGCTCGTTATGATCCATATCAACAGACACGAAGTCGAGTGGAACAACTTCGACAGCTAGGACATTCAGTTGATAAAGTTGAATTTATTGTAATGGGTGGTACATTTATGTCATTGCCAGCTGATTATCGTGATTATTTCATTCGAAATCTACATGATGCATTATCTGGTCATCAAAGTAAATCGGTAGACGAAGCTGTAAGATATTCGGAAGAATCAAAAACGAAATGTATTGGAATTACAATCGAAACTCGTCCGGATTATTGCTTAAAACGACATCTTTCTGATATGCTTACATATGGTTGTACACGATTGGAAATCGGTGTACAATCAGTATATGAAGATGTTGCACGTGATACAAATCGTGGTCATACAGTCAAAGCTGTACAAGAATCATTTTGTTTAGCTAAAGATTGTGGCTACAAGGTGGTCGCACATATGATGCCAAATTTACCAAATGTACCATTGGATCGTGATTTATCTCAATTTGAAGAATTTTTCCAGAATCCTGATTTTCGTGCTGATGGTTTAAAAATCTATCCAACATTGGTTATTCGTGGTACCGGTCTATATGAATTATGGAAAACTGGCCGTTATCGTTCATATCCATCATCAGTTTTAGTCGATCTTTTGGCACAGATATTGGCAATGGTACCACCATGGACCCGTGTATATCGTGTACAACGTGATATTCCTATGCCATTGGTTACATCGGGTGTTGAACATGGTAATATTAGAGAATTAGCTTTAGCTCGTATGCGTGATTTAGGTACTAAATGTAAAGATGTTCGAACAAGAGAAGTTGGCATCCAGGAAATTCATCATAAAGTTCGTCCTGAACAAATTGAACTTATACGAAGAGATTATTATGCTAATGGTGGATGGGAAACATTTCTTTCCTATGAAGATGTTGAACAAGATATTCTAGTCGGATTGCTTCGTCTTCGTAAATGTTCACTGCAAACATTTCGACCAGAATTAAAACAAACAAAATCAGAAACAATAAAAAATCAATTTGGATTGACAAAAGGATGTTCAATAGTTCGTGAGCTACATGTTTATGGAAGTGTTGTACCTGTTTCATCAAAAGATTTGAAAAAATTTCAACATCAAGGTTTTGGTATGTTATTAATGGAAGAAGCAGAAAGAATAGCACAATTTGAACATAATTCCGGAAAAATTGCAGTCATTTCAGGTAAGTTTTTTTATTGAAGCAATCCAGTAAAATATTCTAATAATAATATCCCACTATAATAGGTGTTGGAACTCGTCATTATTATCGAAAATTAGGCTATCAATTAGATGGTCCATATATGTCAAAATGTTTGTAAAAATAAAAATAAATAAAATAAATGCATTCTGATGCTATGTTTTCAACAAAAAAAATGATGATTATGATGATCAACTCATGTGATGAACAATACTATGGCAAAAAAAAATAGGTAACCAAGGCATTTATTTTGTTTGATGATAAGGATTTGTTACTTGTTGGTATAACTTGCCTTGGTTGCCTCCATAGAGACAATGTTATTGTCGTAAAAACATCAATTTTTTCAAGCCATTTCATTTTAAAATACAGCAATCCATAGTTTTCGAAAATACGATTCATTTTTTTTCCGTTTGTTTTGTATTCGAGATTCAATAGATTTTCAATAATGTTTTCAACCTGTTTCAAATCTAATCGTTTTTCGAATCGACAAACAACAACCCCATTGAATTTTGTTGATTGTTATCAACGTTTTCATCATGTTTATACGGCCAGTATTTTATTAATATTATCATTGATCATTTTATTACGTGAATGGTCATTTGATTCGATTGATTGTTCATTATTACCACAACAACAACAACAACAACAAGAATCGATTGTTAACCCAGAAGAATTTTCTGCATTTCATTATAATAATTATTGTAAATTACATGGTCGATTTATTTTACCTGGTAAAAATATTTCGTCGTTTATTGAAATTTGTACGAATCATTCATCATTATGGAATAAGCAACAACAAGAATTCATCGATGATAACCAGGAATTACCACAATATAAATATTTTGGTTTTATATTGGCTATATTTGCATTATTATTACAATTACCGAATCAATTATGGAAATGTTTTGCATATAATGCATTCATGTTGACTTTTAAAAATCAGGTTAACATTGAAGATTTCGGCAAACAAATAAATCAACAAATACAAATGACAATGAAAAAATCAATGAATAGTTGTTTGTTGATCATTGTTTTGTGGTTTGTTCGAATGATGAATGTCAGTTTGATTTGTTTATTGATTTGGATATTACAATCATTAACAAAAGGGAATTTTATTTTTCTCCCCTTGATTGTCGTAATGAAAATATATCCATCCAATCGAAACGATATCGAATGTCAATATAATTTTGATCCATTTCCAAAATCAACATTATGTCAATATCGATATTATGATTATAAACATTTTAATGAAAAAATAATGTTTATAAATTGTTTGATGCCAATAAATTCATTACTGGAACAGATAATGTTATTCATATGGATATGGTTACTAATAATGATTATAATAACAATATTTTATCTTAATCATCATTTTTTATTAACAATTTGTAATTGTTGGCGTAGAATAATATTAAAACAACAATCAAATTATCAATTAAATGAACAAACATTACGTTTAGGTTCAAAATCTTATTCGAATTTTATAATGATAACATTGATTTGGATACAAAATGCAACAACAACAATAATTCAAAACAAACCAGCCATTGAATTACCATTAATCGAATCAAATCGCGAAACGATTTTAACCGAATCATCCAATAATGTTTAAACAGCCATTATTGATTTATCGAATGTTTTTCATTTTTTTAATTTTATGAATTTTTAATTTTTTAATTTTTTATAATAATTTTTCTATAGATGTAATGTATAATAAACAAAACAAAACAAAAAGAAAATTTTTTTTGAAACAACAACAATAATAATCTATGTGTAATAAGCTAATAAAAATTGTAAAATTTCGATATATAATATGGTGAATAAAGATGACCAAAAAAAAAATGTAAAATGTTTGCTTGTAAAATCTAAGTTTTTTTTCGGGTTGAATAACAAAAGATATGAATTTTTTCAAAGGCTAGTGATTGATTGGGTGAAAGTGATTCATTCAGTGATTGATTGATTTGAATATAATATTAGGTAGATAGTATCGAGAGACAAAATAGGCACACAAAATTTTTTTCCATAAGCAAAAACAAAACAAAAAAAAAACGATAAAAACAACAAAGATCAAAATGCTAAGGCGTTTATGAATGAAATGAATGAATTGTGACTTGATTGATTGTATTCCATTTTTTTTAGTTTCGGTTAGTTTTCATCAATGAATGATATGAAATAAATTCGGTACAAAGAAGAATCTAACCATAGCAAATATGCATGGTAATATGAATAATGAATATCCAGTATTAATAGTAAAGGCATGATTACAACCATCACCATCACATTGACAAACTAATGTACTTGTTGGTGGACTTTTTGTCCAATAACAATCAACCGGTGAACGTATAAAACCACATGAACGTATAATACGTGTTTCTTCATCAATTGTTTGTACTTGTTTACGACAAAATGTATAATTTAATTTATCATTTTCATCAATACATTCACGATACATTTTTTTATAACAATCATGTAAATTATTAACATCGGTAGGTACATCTTCACAGAATTTATCAGTCATTGAATTACATTGCCAACATTGTATTGCATTAACAGTATTATCAGATAATAATGTTATTATTGTAACCAAAAATATGGTTACAATTAGGAACCAATAATATTGTCGAATTGAATTCATTTTTTTTTAGGTAGAAAATGTTAGGGAAATGATAGATGATTGATAATGATAATGGCACAAATTTTGGTTTAGTATTTTTGGGGGCCAAAAAAAAAAATTCGTTAAATTCAACGGTGCTGATTCGTGACGACCACCTTGTTTGAAAGTCACCAAGAAAAATTTTTAGTGAAAATAATAGTGGCTAATGAGAGGAGAAAGGAAACACAGAAACACACCAGACAGTGGTAGACAAAACGCACACACAAAAAAAACAAATATCAGGACTTTGATTGTCGTGAAAGTAGACAAATTAATATGGATGCTACAATGCAAACATTTTCATTTTTTTAAACAGCATGAATCTTCGTAATGAAGAATGAATTACTTCAACAACAAGCCAACAACAAGTGAGCTCAACAACAGTAAAAAAAACAACGAAGTAACGGCATCAATGGCATTCAACGGCAGCGGCAATAATCAATGTTGATTTAAATAATGTCCGATGTTGAACATACAAAAATTACCATTATTAACATCGTCGTCTTAATATTCGTCTCGACTCTTTAAATGATTATCAAAAATTTGTTGTTTATCGTTTTTTTTAGGAGAATGAATGTGAGAGAACGCCTCGAATATTTTGATTGCGAAATATACTTTGTGAAGAAACGAAAACGATAGTTGGCTCTTGTGTGTTTGATTTTGATTTTTTCTTCAAATCGTTGAAAATCGTTGTCCGATATTGTTGTTGTTGTTGTTGATCACTAACACACAATTAAATATTAATGACGTTAATAATCGATGTTGGCGCAATTTTGTTTGCTTGTTGTTGAAACCAATTTCGACCACCACCACCACCATTGATTTCTTTTTCTTTCAACAGCTTTAAGTAGACCTATGTATATACAAAATGATTGATATAATTCATGCAAATCTAATCATCATCATCATAGTTTTTTATCATTCGAAAAAGAAAAGAAAATATCATCCATTGAATGAATTAAAAATGGATGCTAAGGGAGAGAAGATTACCTTTTATCATTCGAACTGGATAAATTTGGGTGAATGGGTCATGGATATGAAGAAAAACCAATCACACGATAAGGGTAATGATATCTGGTTTGAGATGATTTCTTCTTCTTCTTCGTTGATGATGATAATGGCGATTAAAATCAATTGAAAATTTGATTTCAATAATCCAATGGATTTATGGATAATGCTAATGGTTTGATGTCCTTTTGAAAGAAGAAATTAGAAAAACCATAAGCAAAAAGTATAAAAGATTTATTTCAATCACAAAACGGTCATACGAAAAAAATAATAAAATTCGACAGAACAAAAAAAAACTGGAACAACCACAACAGCAATGCCATAGGCGCCATGGATATTCATATTCATGGTGGACCACTACTACCACCACCAAATGATGATGGCCAACTATACGATCAATATCAATGTTTGTTGTTTTGTCTTCAAACGACCATTATTTGTTTTTTTTTTCGAATTTCGCATTCGGATTTGGATCGGTTTTCTTTTTTCATTAAAAAAATGGAACGGATTGTTTTTAGTTTGGGTGTGACAATAATAACGGGCAAAAGACACACACGGGAGAAGAAAATCATTCATTTTAATGAAATGAAATGATTAAATTCAGTGTTTGTGATGACGACCTGCGCGTCAAAAAATAATTTACAAATATTGCTTGCTAGATCGAAAAACGTAGATACAAAAACAACAAACAAGGCTATATGATGGTCAACTTGAATTAGTTGTTGAATGGGCCAATTTGAATCCAATGATGATTGCCAATGACCTTTTCGTTAATTAAAACCTTTCNCCAACCAAACACGATAAGGGTAATGATATTATGTGGTTTCTTCTTCTTCGTTGATGATGATAATGGCGATTGAAATCAATTGAATTCAATTCGATTCGAATTGATTTGATTTCAATAACCCAATGGATTTATGGATAATGCTAATGGTTTGATGTCCTTTTGAAAGAAAAAACAACCATAAGTAAAAAGTATGATCAAGATTTAGTTCAATCACAAAACGGTCATACGAAAAAAAAAATAATAAAATTCGACAGAACAAAAAAAAAACTGGAACAACCACAACAGCAATGCCATAGGCGCCATGGATATATTATTCATATGGTGGACCACTACTACCAACCACCACCAAAGAACTCTACCAATGATGATGGCCAACTTCTACGATCAATATCAATGTTTGTTGTTTGTCTTCAAACGACCATTATTTGTTTTTTTTTATTCGACTTTCGGATTCGGATTTGGATCGGTTATTAAAAAAATGGAACGGATTGTTAGTTTGGGTGTGACAATAACAACGGGCAAAAGACACACACGGGAGAAGAAAATCATTCATTTTAATGAAATGAATGATTAAATTCAGTGTTTGTGATGACGACCTGCGCGTCAAAAAATAATAATTTACAAATATTGCTTGCTTGATCGAAAAACGTAGATACAAAAACAACAAACAAGGCTATATGATGGTCAACTTGAATTAGTTGTTGAATGGGCCAATTTGAATCCAATGATGATTGCCAATGACCTTTTCGTTAATTAAAACCTTTCTTTTTTTTCAAAATAAAACATGATTGACAATGATCGCCACCTTACGGAATTAAAATTAAACACTTTTAAGCATTCGAAATGGATTGGATTCACAAACAAAACAAGCAAAAAAAAAATTGATGTAATTAGATTTAATGACTTGTTATCGTTGTTGTTGTTGTTATTATTAAATCGAAGATGCATCTGTCATTCATTTATTTATCTATTATTATTATTCGTTGTTATTGTTGTTGTTGTTGTTGTTCATTCATGGTTAGTTATGTTTCATTGCATTTGCAACAACAACAACGACGAAAAAGAAAAAATTCTGTTAGATTCATCACATCACACAGTCAGGGTTCCAAGATGAATGAAATTCAATTGTTATAGTCATTTTTAATGACTTGTCATCAACACTGTTTTATTCACATTATTATTGTTATTATTTCTTTTCGTTCGGTCGTTGTGGACAAAAATTTTCATCCAAAACAAAAAAACGAACGAGAAAGCACGATTCGGTCATTCATTCCATTCATTCCATCCATCCATCCAACCATTCTATACTATTTTCACCCAAATTGATCATGTTATAATCAAAAAATATGCATTAAAATCACCATCATTATAAAGTGAAAGAAGTGAAAAAGAAAGAATTTCTTTCTTTTCATCATCAAATGTGGGGGTATTATTAAATCAGTATTTTATTGTTTGTTTGTCTGAATCAACATCACAACAGAACAAACAACATCCATTATGATATTTCAAACAATCATTATGGGCAATGGATCAATAATATTCTTTTTTTCTGTCTGTTTGTTTGTAACAATTTAAACGTGTGTCAATGTTTTTTTTTTTTTGGATCAACATCGATAATGACATCATCATCATCATAGGATAGGCGTGATTATTAGATTTGGCTTTTTGTTATTCAATGAAAATAAGGCCACACACACGTACGGGTCACATTCACGTCAATCAAAGTTGTATTTTTTTTCTTTTCTGTTTGTTTGTTTGACACTTGGGTTTGATACACATCACATTAACAAATTGAATTGACTTGAATGGAATACGCGTGTCACCATTTACCTAATTTGTGTGTTTGAAAATTCTTTGAGTATTCTTTCTGGTGACAATAAATAATACAAATCATATCGTCAAATCAAGATTAAATTGATGCTCATTACGATATTTACGTGCAACCCAACAAACCGATAATAGTTTTGTCACTCACCAAAAAAAAACGTTCGAAATAAGAACCAAAAAAAAAAAAACGTTCGAAATTTAAAAAATTCGATTTACGACTGCTCAAATGTTTTGTTTTTGA